TTTTTGGGAAAGTACACAGTACACAGTCTTCACTTGAGCTATTCATTGCAAAACAGATGTGATGTGCCCAATCAATTTCCTTGAAATGAACATGGAAGGCAGATTAATTGGATAGATACTGGGGCACACTACACTGGCAGACTTCATAGCAATCTCGTGGGGAGCGACTGGGATTTGATTTTCTGTGTCGCTTCTGCACCTAGCAAGGAGGCAATTCCCCGCCCCCCGTCTCACACCACGTAACTGCACTCACACAGCCATGGGTACACATCAATTATTTATCCACCACATGCAGTGGCACACCCTGGTCCTCTGTGCTAGAGAGAATCTCGTGGGTGTAGGAGGAGGAGGAATGGCCATGGGGTCAGCCACAGGCCTCTTGGCTCTATCAGCTAAAAGTGTAGCCCTTAAATATCCTGCTCATACCATTGCTTGTGAAAGAGGAGGTCAACATACACTGTAGAGAGCCCCAAATGTATAGTGCGTTTTGGCCTACTTCCCAATGTTGGCCAGGTGCCTTGGAAGGGGTAGAACTACTGTAACCACACTTTATCCCATTGAAAGCAACCCGTCTATCAACTGTGGAGGAATCCATTTATGCTGTTGGGTGAACAGGGGTGGTTGTGGTGGTGGTGGGGGGGATGTTTTAGAAACCCGACCCATTGTTTCAGCTGCCACGCTGGGAGATGAATTTGAACCGGCGACCTCTGGATTGCGAGTCCGGTGTCCTAGACCATTACACCACAGTGGCAGCATCCCATATATATCAGATCGACTGTTACTGTCGAGACGTGGGGGATGTGAAGGGGGGCTCGCTTGGGTCTTTGCCTGCAGGGACCCCGAGGAAGGGAGCTGGCTTGGCGGGTTTGCCAGGAGGTACACTCGGGGTTGATGCCAAGGGGAATATGCTGAAAAGTGTCTTACGCTATCACATTTAACTTGGCCTGCGGTGACACACGCCTGCAATTAAATATTATCTCACGTCGTGTTTTCATGTTTAATGAAACCATAAAACACATGGTCTATCGAATCCATCGATACCGATCTTTTTGGCTCTATTAAAAAAGAAACGACTTTTAATGCCCATCCATTAAAAAAAATTGGACCTGCAGTCATCTCGCTGTGTTAAACAACGAGACCCGACTGAATATCTTCTTTAAAAGCGGTAACATTTCCCCCTTGACCTCCAAGCGGCCTGTGGATGGCGCTGAGATTGTGTCCACGAGAGGCCCGCTTGTAAGGTGGCGAGTTGCCTGTCGGAAGCAATGCATGTAGGGTGTCTTTTGACGCCCCCACGCGTGCACAGCTTTGAGAGCCACTTCTTATCGTGGGCTCTGTGTGTGGGTTTTTATCCAGGCGCTCCAAACTCATCTCACGCACCAAAACTCCGCGCGTAACAACTGGCCACACATCGCGAGCAGGAATCCAAACCTTTTGTGTGTCGGTGATGACTGGAGATCTGTGAAAACGAGCTTCATAGCTCATTGGATTCCTCCAGTATGAATACATATTGTAATTCCGATTTTGACTAAAACGCTATAAGAGCCCGTTGGAATGTAACACAAGAGGAATTCGTTGTCCGAGCGGGCTTGGATAATCATAAACAGCCCTTTTTGTCCACTTCACTCTGCTGGCCAGTGTGGACTGGCAGAGGTGGGGGCCGGTTGAGAGATCACTCGCCGCTAATGCGAGCCATGGCCAGGTCACCAGGTCACCAGGCCACCAGGTCACCAGGCCACCAAGCCACCAGGTCACCAGGTCATCAGGCCACCAGGTCACCAGGCCACCAGGTCACCAGGATAGTCCGACAACTACCCCCCCGCCACCAACCCCACTCCACCCAGTATGCTCAGATAAAGTGTTCAATTAAAGACGAAAGAATGCATCACTAAGTGGCAAATTCAATCAATCCGGCGTCGGCATCAACAAATATCGCGCGCTTTGCCGGGACACCCGCGTCAACGCTCACAGATGATGTTTGCCAAGCGTGCGTATAATTAAAACACGTGTTTTTCCTGGCCAATAGTTTTATCTGAAGCCACCAGTGAGGAGGAGCCTCATCGGCCAGAATTTGTTGGCATTGTGTAAATAACCGTGACAATCTTGTAAGCGTGACAATCTTTTCGGGTGGCGAAGGGTTAATGACAGGCATAAAGCTACCACGTGGCCTAACCCAAAAAAGATTGAGGGGTGCGTGTGTTTACACGGCAGTGCCAAAATCCAGAGGCGCCGTGTGGATTCACAACTCGCCTCATTAATCCTTCCAGACAAACCAGGCTTCGTCTTCCTCTCGGGAACGATGGGACGCGGGAAAACATCTGCACGTGCAACCCACGTGCGCCGCCGTCCGTGTACACGTCACTTGACGACGCTTTACGACGTGTACACGTCGCTTGACGACGTATACACGACGTGTACACGTCACTTGACGACGTATACACGACGTGTACACGTCACTTGACGACGTATACACGACGTGTACACGTCACTTGACGACGCTTGACGACGTGTACACGTCGCTTGACGACGCTTGACGACGTGTACACGTCACTTGACGACGCTTGACGACATGTACACGTCACTTGACGACGCTTGACGACGTGTACACGTCACTTGACGACGCTTGACGACGTGTACACGTCGTGCACACGTCGCTTGACGACGCTTGACGACGTCAATGCAAGCAGCTGCCAGCCGTACTGGGGAAGTTGGATTTCCGGTGGTTATCGCTTAGATTACAGATGCGTGCAGACCAGTTACTTTCTCACGCTAACACGCATCTCTACGAGTGTGAATGAGTTTGTGCGAGCCACTTGATCTCTGTGAGATTGAATGAGCTTGCTTTAGCTAAGGCATCTCTATGGGAGTGAGTTGAGGCCGCTTTGGCCTACAGATCTCTATGCAGGGGCAGAGCCACGCTGTGAAAATTGGAGGTGTCCTGGGAGTGAATGGTGGCTGGTGGTTATTAGTTGTATCACAAATGCAAAAGTGACCGGTTATTTGGTAATGTGATCGTTAATTACTGTTGCCACGCTACGTGTAGTACTGACAAGCCCTATTTATCGTTTGTTCTATCATCAATCTACGGAGCTATTGGCCACCGACTCACTGCTTCGCCTCCTGCTCGTGCGTTAGCGTGTGATTTAAATGTCCCATCATGAGCACAATCAGAACGTGATGAACATTACTGTGACATGCAGAGCCATTGGGGACACGTGCTGGCCATTGCTGTGTGAACCATTCGTAACTTGAAGAGGTCTGAAGAGCTAGCTCTGGGATATCCACTTCCGTGATGCGTTCTCCAAAACGAAGGGATGCGCTGCTCCTCGAGACATCTGAAGAGATTTTTCATCTCGTGACGTGGCGCTGAGAGCACAATTGGAATACAAGTGAAGGGGAAATGTTATATTTGAAATAAAAACATATTTCAGAGGAACATTTCCTCCATTACCTGTGTAACTGCGTTTACATTAAATGTTACCAGTTACTCTGGGCGAATTGTTTGTTTTCATTGTTATTTGTTTACGGTGCTTCTCAGCCACTGCCCTCTCTGTCTGCTCTGTGCATTATGGCACAACAGACTGTGACTTTGTCGCTCGTAGTGGCCCTGGCCTCTGACTAGGAACTTTCCGAGCAAGGGGATTTTTTTTTTGCGAGCGAATGCCGACAGCTCCAAGCATCCCATTGGGTGGCACGGTGGGGCTCTGTGTGAAAAGGTCATCCCAGCCTCGTGAATGCACAAACCGTGGACCCCCCCCCCCCTCCAACACAACGGCACCTGCGCCTTATCTTATCTTTATTCTGTGTGTACAGCGACACAACGCCCATCCAATACCATGTGCAAGGGTGGGAGGAGGGGGCATAGGGAAAACCCAATTCTCAGTGTTTAGATGCACGATTCGGAGCTGCCAGGGCGATGTAATGGTTAGTTCACCGGACTTGCAATCGAGAGGTCGCAGGTTCGATTCCACCTTCCGGCACACGGCAGTTGAAACAATGATGCAGGTCTCTAAAATCAACTCCCCCCCACCCCGGCCACTGTTCACGTAGCAGAATAAATAGCTTCATCAACGCAGTCAGTCCATCGGCAGGTCGTGTGTGGATAGGTACAATTCTGGGTTTACCCACCCTTCCCAACATGTCTGGTCCATGAGGAAAAATAGACCAAATGCCATTCTATAGTACGCACTAGCCGAGGCCTTCCCCCCCCCCCCCTCCCCCAGCAGTTGCACAAGCTACATCTTTTTCTTATCCATAACACAAATAGGCATTATCCATGATCAATTCACCACTGGATGAATGCTGTATAAAAGCCATCGTCATCCTGTACAATCCCGTGATGTAAGAATCCAGAGAGTCCTGCATGAGGGATGTTTTGGCCGATACCATTAATTGAGTGTTTTGCATGTCTGAACAATTCCAATGTACTTCAAAGCCTCACGCCTGAGGGAATAATGTTCAATGTTCTGTACAAATAAGCTCACGAATGCATCCACTTTCAGTGCAGTCATCTTCTGGCCACCTCACAGCGCAGAACATTTGGGAGTTGCACAAAAATGCAAAATCCACCAACCCTTGCCCCCAAAGTGCTGGTGTAGTGGTGTGTGTGTGTGTATAACCACCATGCCCATCTGGGCTCACGTGAAAGCCTGTATCTCTCTCTCTGTCTCCCTTATCCGTATCTAGGGCATCCCTCCCCTCATTTGTACAGGGCTCAACTTAAGGTCAAAGCTCCCAAATGTCCTGGTTTGGCTGAGACAATCCCGGTGTCAGAACGGTCATCTCTGCTACTATTTGTGAATATCCCATTTTGTCCCCGGTTTAAAATTGCCTAGCTTCACGCTGGACTCATTACGCAGGCAGGGGCTGCGTGACCTGTGAAGTGGGCGGTGCTGCCAGTTCATCGACCAGAGGTCCCGGTTGAGTCTCCCAGAAATGTGATATCTTTCCCACTAACAACCCGTGCGCTCCTCTCCCCTCTCACACACACCCACCCGCAGGTGATCAGCTTCGTGAGCCTGCGCTACGACGCACAGTCCTTCTGGATGGTGCTGGCGCTGCTCTGGTGCTCTGTGGTGCAGACGCTGCTGCTGCCGCTGTTCCTGTGCACATGCGAGCGCTACCGCGCCGACTGCCCCACCATCTGGGAGCACTGTGCCACCCTAATGGCGGCCGAGGAGCTCGATGACGGTGGGTGGGTGACGGTGGTTGTCCGTGGGTCATACATCCATCGATTCAGATATCTATTCATGCACTCATCAATGAATCGATGGCAGTTACCACAAACAGCGGGCGATCTTGGTAAAACCAGGTGAGGTGGCAACCATAGCCTGGTTCCTGGGCTACAAAGAGTGGGCAAAAATAGACAAGGGGCCCCATTTCGTTCTTTGCGCCAGGGCCCATGCCAACCATGCTACGCCGCTGGCAACACCAGTGACAAACGCAAGATTCCCATCAAATATTTAAGCAGAGTATCATGTCTCTAGGCTCTTAATGGTCTCCGTCTTGTCACAAATGGCCAGCCTATGACACAGTTAAATCAGTCTAGCCAGCTGATATGGCTTCATCCATGAAGACATTTGTTAAATCACTCGTTCGTTTGCACGGCTGCAGAGAAGGCGGTCAAGTGGAGGGTGTAGAACAAAAAACCGTGCAGGGACATCTGCCAGAGGTTTTGGGACTTCACATTGTGTTATTTGCTATTATTGTTTATTGAGTCAAAGACACTTTGTCAGCAGGGTCCTGCCAAGTGTTTGCAGTTGGGGGGTGGGGGGGGGGGCGACGTTGCCACGTGTAATCCCAGCTGAGTAATTCGCAGGTACACTTTTCAGCATCGGAGGATGCTCGCGTGTACGAATTTGGCCGACGGTTGCCGCATCCTCCCGGATTAGAAACAACACCGGCGGCTCGCCGCGAGCGACGTCTGCCCACGTGGGGTCGCAGGCACCCCGAGCAAATGGCCTGGCCGCCAAAGCCACGAGTGCAGCGTGGATTTCACTCACAGCCGCTCGCGGTAAAGGGCAGCGGGCTGGGGGTGGGTGCTCTCGCTAAGGGGAAGGAATCATCCGTAATTAAACGCAAACGTAACATAGCAGCGTCAATGTTGTTAACGAAATGAATAATGAAAAATTGTTCAGCAGCGAGTGTTTTATTTGTTTTAATGGTAGTCAATATTCACCGATTGGATGAGAATCATCATGAGTGATGGGGACGAAAACTGCCCTCCAAAGAACAAAGCTCGGCTGATTGAGACAAAATTAATTATCCCGATTGAAGGGGCAGACTAAGTTAATTTTGTAACGTCATTAGAGACGGCAGTACACTGAATAACAAATATGGTAATTGACTGTGAAAGGAAGAGCCTATCCAATTACTTGCCCATGGAACTGCTGATGGAAAGGTATTTGGCTTACTCTTCAAATGTTGGCCAGATATCGTGGACAAGGTGGGAGTACCCACAATGCTTCCCATCACAAGTGACCTACCAATCAACTGACCATGGTGTACCCATTCATAGTGCTCGGTGGACAGAAGTGAGGCGTATTTTTTGTTCTTTCGGTAAAGTCACGTAGAAAGGAAATAAAAAAAATAATTAAAAAATAATTCTATCAAATTCTCACGACGTTTCGATTGCAACACAAGCAATCATCATCATCAGGTGTGAAAACCACAGCAATATTTTTTTAGAAAAAAGTGGCGGTTTTGTCTTAACGTTAGCACCACGGACAGCGACTGGCGGTTGTTCAGACGGACGAGTCCATCTATGCTCGGAACGGAGGAGGGGGGAGAGAAGGAGAATGAAATGCGGTCTGAAAGTCACCGTAAGCGTGAACAGAAGTGAGGCGATTTAAGGGGACTGTCTCCATTGTTTTCAACTCCCACGCCAAGAGAGCGCTGAGAACTGGCATCCTTTGGATTGCACGTCCAGCTGAGGTGACCATGACGCCACGGCAGCTCTATCAGATCGAATTTTACTGCCGACACTTGTGGATAGAAGGGGGGGGGCTGCTTGCTTGGGGGCTTTTCTTGGAGGGACCCCTTGGAAGGGACCCCCGTTTGAGGGGTTTTTTTTTCCAAGAGGGACCCAAGGGGTTGGCGTGGGAGGAGGCACGTCGCTACGTGGTACCGTCTTGGCGTATGATCCCCACACTGCGAGTTTGTGGGTGGCGTGGAGATCGTGCGTGAGAGAGACCCGGCATGCAAGGTGGCGAGCCACGTGCCACCCAGCAGATCAAACAGCACGAGCAATCTCTGGCCTCTGGACTAGATTAAACAACACACAGGCATGTGCGCATGGCATGTACAAAAGCTTTGGATTGCAAATTCGTCCGCCCCCCGCCCCCCGTCGGCCCCCTCGCCCCCCCCTCCGCCCCCCCCCGCCCCCGCTGGCAAATGGGTACACAGAGTGCTGCCCTGGGGGCTGACTGCGTATCTAGAACTCTGCTCAGCCGCTCGATGCGCTGCGTCTGCATTGGCCGGTGGCCGCACTTTGACCCAGACACGTCCTTCAATAGAGACGAGCGAGTGAGTTTCAGCTCGGCGTCACGTGGAGCGCGTGGCTGGGCATTGCCAGTGACTCATGCGTGTAAAGCCTGAGACTTAGATGTTGTTGGGAGTTGCTTCGGCTGTGTGTGCGCACGCGCGCACGCATGCAAGGTGGTTCTTGCAGCTGCAGTGATGGTTGGTGGGTAAATATTTTGATGGAGGCACAGATCCCTGCGGTGGGGGGGGGTGGGATCGGCAAGAGAAGCATGGTGTGGGAGATGGCATACGCAGTTCTTCTCTTCATGAGCAAGCAAGTATTATTATTATTATTATGACTTTTGTCGAGCAGTGCCCGGCCCTACTGACCGCTCACATCGAGCCACCACTGAGTGGAAGTCAGTGCAGCAAGTGGGTTTGTTGACCCACTTGGGGGTTCTTCACTTGTACGTGCAACAGGCCTTCATCAATACACTGCCGGATGAAGACTTCCCTATGTTGCGCAAGTTATGGGGGGGGGGGTGTTACTTGACCATACTTCTCCACGTTGGTCAGTGCGGATTGGTGAAGGTGGGGTGTAGATGTGGAAGTGTAGAAGACTAGCACAACGATGAAATGTGTTGTACATCTGCTTCATCCAATCACTGTCCAGGCTCTACCAGCTTAGCTCCGGGATCTGAAGATCCTGCATCAGGTAGGGAGAATGTGGACTCATTCAATCGATCAGGAGGAGGAAGGAAAGCTGGATTGGGCAGGCAGCAGTGAAAGGGAATAAGCTGAATGATGTGATTAGGCAGTAATAGTAAGAGGGAATGACCTGAAGGAGGTGATTGGACAGGTGGTAGTGAGAGGGAATGAGCAGAAGGAGGTGATCGAAAGAATATTCTTTGAGAAAGGCCCAGCGGAAGGAAAATAACAGCGATGCTACGCGATGTTCAACAAGGAAGGACGTACAGAGAAAGAGACCAGCGGAGGACAGAGAAAAACTCAGAGGGGATAATTGATCCTCAGGCCGGTCTACGGGCAGAATTCTGAACGAATGACAGGAAATCCCAGCGTTACTGGGTTGACTGCGTCGCCTAACAATGCCAGTTTGTCTTTAACAAAAAAAATGGCCTTCATCATTTCTGATGCATCACCACAAAGGCTGCCTTCAAAGTCTGGCCCGTTACAATATATCGATCGACCAAGGTATGCTTTCCATCTAAGCTCACGTCCCTCAAACTAGGAACCATGTCTAACAGAAAGGGTCCTTGTCTATAAACATCAGGCAGTTCACCAGCATTGGTTCACACAAGCCTGACTCTGCTGATGGGAGACTGTCAAAATCCGTATCAGGGTTTGATTACAACGAAGCAATACTGCTAAAATACACTCCAAGAAGACCATATGGCTGATGGATTGTGTACAAAAAAGACTTTATGTTAAATGTGGATTGACAAATATGGTAAGGTAACATTATGCATTTTGTGAGTTTATTTTGGCAAGGGTAAACACCCACACTTTTTTTTTAGATATGCTTACACAAGATAAACTTGGTAACAGCAATCGAGTATTGATATGAACTTTCTCCACACCGATGGGGAATTACCACTTTGTGTTGTCCATAAAAAATGACTGCACAAAACCTAAGGTGGGAATAAAAAAAAATAGATTTCATGTTACCAGCCATTTTACTACATGAGCAATAAGTCCGTTTTATTCTTTTCACCTATCCAGGCTATGCCCTGCTTAATATTCTCTACAATGATGTGTAATTATTAGTTCCGTGTTAAACATTAAGGATTACTCAATTAAACTCAAGGTCGCAGTTAAAATATTATATTGTGCTAAGCTATTTTTTTTATTATAAGAGCATTAAGTCTGTAATCCACTTTTCAACTTAATCCATTTAATTTGCGTTCAATTTTGACGAAAGTGACGAAAATATTATCTTTGGAGTAATGGCTCGTGCAGAATCGGAGAGGTGCGTGTAAGAGATTACTGTGGCAGGTTGTGATCGATGTGACGATGCCTTCGAATGAATGACAGCACGCTGTGACGATGCTTTCGAATGAATGACAGCACGCTGCCCGGGCGCCGACTCTTTCATGGACTCTATCAGTAGTATCCCATCTTGCAAACACCCAACATAACCTTACCATAATACATCACTGCATACATTTTACAGCCATTAGTCAATTCACTGCTGGATGAAGGCCTCTCCACAATGTGTCGGTCATGGGTGCAGTTAGACCATACATCAAACAGAATCAAAATCTTTCACTTACACTGGAGGGATCCGATGAGTTCTGAAGCTCTTTTTCACAGATATCCAGTATTTTTACAGATGTCCAGTAAACTGGTCAGTCACCAAGCTTGGTTATCCGGAATCAATTCCGGAATCAATTCCGGATCACCAAGGTGCATAGCGCATTGTGCTAACCACTACGTCACTACTCCACCCCACTGAATGCGTAATAATTAATGCACAATGCATTATCCACACCTTTAACCAAATAAACCAGAATGCTCCTGATTTTGACGCAACACGGCAGCCAAACAAGTTTAAATATCGATATTGCTTAGAGGTGTGACCACCATGTATAGCAGGTGTTATAGGATGCTGTGGGGTTATATGGTCAACAGGGGGCAGTGCAATCACAAATACAGTTGATCATCGATTCCAACATGATCCGGCACCCCCTTCCCCCCGAAGCCGCCGGATAATCGGTGATCTACGAGTAAATCCAACCGGATGATTCCTAGGTTCTCAATAGAATCCCATTCATTTCAGGGGTGATTCCCGCATCCCAATTCAAAGGAATGGGACTTAGGTGGATAATTATAACACCTGTTAAAGTCTGATTTCATTGAATGGGATATTTTTTTACATGGGAATTGTGTAATGAAGCCATTGGAGCTATGCACTCTTAAATCTAAATTGAGAAAACTAATTTCTCAAGAACTGCTTTCTGTGGTTAGTTTGTTGTCCTTCCCCCCGCACCTCCGATTAGCGCGGTTGGTTACGTAGTGCGCGAAAGAAGTTCAACACGCATACGCCCAGAGAACACAGCAGGAATAGTCTAACACTAATGTACGCAACGTCACAACACCCCACTCGCCGGAGACGGATATGTGAAAGGTCAGAAATGTGAACATCTGTAGAAAATTACAGATACGCCACGCACAAATGAGGTACTGGAAATAAATAATGAAAACTGCTTTACACGTGGGAATATGCTCCACTGTGCTTTCGAGGCGGATGATTAGGAATACATTACTGTCTGAAAAGGTCATATCGATGATGTAACGGTGAGCACATGGGACTTACAATCGAGGTCGGTCGAACGATTTCCTGGTGCGGTTGTCGAAGGTTCAACTGCAGGGGTTTGCACCTTTACATACAGAGACTAATTACAGCAGGCATATAAAAAAAATACTAAACCACACTAGGTATGGATGGTTAATTGGTCAGGGAAGATATGTGATGGTTGCGTGTGCAACGTTGTACCGTACTATTAACAATGCCACATTCACAGCCTTGTGACAGACGCAACCGTTACTCATTTGCACAGTGGCTGTCCGCAGAAGGCTCCATCATATGAACACCTGGCAACCCGGCCCCATTGCACACAGGAGGTAGCCTGACCTGCTAATCACGGCGTTGGATACTTTAATGATGACGAATTAAACTCGAAGCGCGGCACCACACACGATACGCTCACTCTCGAAAACGAGAGAGCACGGCGAAGAGGCTCGACGAATCACAATCGGGGGGGGGGGGGGGGGGGAAGCGACATCCACGGTGTGAGCCGGCGCTACCAACAGTTGCCCAAGTTCTACAGTCCCCAATATACGAAGGCGTTATCGGCCAATTAATGAGTGTTTACATGTGGGAAGAAAACGGAGCAAGCACACACGCGCGAGGGGGCAACACACTATCCCACACTATCCCACACAGGTAGACAAGGTGGGGTCCATATTTTGTCTGTACTGCCTTCTTGTCAAGCCAGCGTATGGCACCTTGTCGCCCACGGTAAAGAAGCGTCACGACATTTGTGTGATCCAGCAACCCTCGCTTCTGCAGTCGCTGGTTTACAGGTCAGGTTTTGCGATGGACGGATACGCGACGTTATGCTGCATGGCAACGCTCGCCTCTTCCTTGCATTGATGTGTGTGTGTATATCGACAGGCATGAAAACCAACGGGGGATGCGTTCGTGATTTGCCGGCCGAGGGGGATGTCGAGCTGAGCGCCAGCAAAGAGAGCATCGCTCTCAACCGCATACCACTGGAGGGGTATCAGCTGCGTGATCTGCACCAGTTGCTCGTGGAAGGCAAGCACTTTCTCCAGGTACCTCTGGCAGAGCGGTTAAACATTCATAGTCGGGAGGGGGTGGCTATGTACGCCTATAATGCAGCACTGTTTAGGCAGCGAGGGTTGGTGGATCACACAAATGTTGCTAAACTCCCTTACCATGGACATCGAGGAGGTGCTTAATGCCCTTGCCTGCCAAGGAGACGGTGGCACAGAATGTGTCGACTCATCTACGTCCGACTGAAAATGTCTGTTCCCATGATGACATCACTCCAATATATAACCAGGGAAAATATCAAACGAGCAAACCCGTTTGTACTCAACCCACTGCGATGTCCTACTCACTCAAAGGTACAAATACAATTCCAATGTGAATTAAACATCAAGCAGTCAGGCTGATTAACGATCCAGCACTCACCGATTAAATCAGTCGCCTCGTTATCACTTTTTTCGTTCCCATGAACTTCACTCATTGATTCCTCCACCCAATTACGTGGAATCGGTCGAGCACACTGACGATTTCGTCTCATTTGTACTGTGATTAACCACCACACTGCAGGTAAAAACAATACACTCACCCATTCACTCACTCACACACTCACCAAACTGTAGGTCCAAACACTCCTATTTCTGCATCTTTCCTCGCAGCGCTCCACTTCAGAATTTCTTCCCATCGCCTCTCTTCCAAATCTCTTACAATTACCTTGCTCAATTCAAGAAGCGGATTAACCGTTACAGTTACACATGCAAGAGTGTCGTTTGTCACTCGCTGCTTGGCACTTGGACTTTTGGGCCTCTGCCCAGCATCTTTAATTTCTTTTTTTAAAATTGTAATCTTTTTTTTTATCAGCTCGACGACTCGGCCCATCGCTGCCACGGATCAGCTCAGGGGTGCGATCGCTCGTTTCTTGCCTCGTGTGCGAATTTTCTCTTCCAGCTGCCACACACGAGGCGCTGTTCGCACGACGACGCGGACATGTGCTGGCCCGTGGGGTCGTCCAGCGGCGGCAAGCTTCGCGGGCCCACAGACGACTCCTCCACCGGGCTACAGCAGCACGCCTCGCCCAAGCACTATCGCAAGAGATTAAGCGGCGGCGGCGGCGGCGGCGGCATCGGAGTAAGCAGCAGCGCCGGGCAGATCTCGACCTCGGGATCGGCTTCAGACGGGCGCCCCGCCAACTACGCAGGGCGTCGGCGGCGCTCAGAGGGCGGCGTGACGGCCACGCTGCGCCCCGTCGTCGTCAAGACCATGAGCCTGGACGAAGGCGATGGCGACAGCGGCAGCAGCCGCTTCTTCACGCTCGACGAGATCATCAGCTACATCGACGAGACGCCCATGGTGAGCCCCTGCCCGAGCCCGGCCCGCTCCTCCACGCCAAGGGGCGGCGGCCCACGCACCAGCACGCCTGTGCCAAGGCACGGCACGCCGTCCAAGGGCGCGCGCGGCCTGCCCGACTGCGAACTGTTTGTTGTGTCTGGAGGGACCTTTGACATCGGTGGCGATGGTGGTAACCGGGATGCGGAGGACGCGGAGATGGTGGGGGCGCAGATGAAGTGCGGAGACCATGGTGCCGCAGACGGCTGCTGCTGGGACAAATGCTCGACGACGAGAAGAATCAATATTTCCACGCAGAACGGCGTAACTCAGTGACAATGTGCGCTGGAATTGCACGCGTGGCCACTGAGAAATGCACTTGGTTTTCCAAGATCAAGCTCTCGGGGTGGAGCTCCGAGGTCCCTTCATGGGCTCACGTGAGATTTTCCACCGAGATTGTGACTGTGGAGGCAGATTGGACTGTTGAAACGTAACAGCTTTTTTGGAAAACCCAGTCTTGAGCGTTTATTGATAAGCCATTGAATAAATGTGTATCTTTACAGATTGATAAGATTGCAGTACTCACGATACTACTACGACTGTGACTGTAATTAAAAACCATGGATGGTGATGAGAGAAAACAAGCCCTGAATACAGATCAGGACAATAAAAAATACGCATGACAAGTAAGACGCATTCAACAACAGAGAACAATAAAATATAACAAACACATGAAGAAGAGGAAAGGGTCTGTTTCATCACCGGAACAGAATCGCACTTAGTAAGTCCATCACCAATGGGCATGAAGGACCAATGTTTTGCAGCAGTATTTGTTTAAAGGGGCATAAGCCTGGACTGGTTTTGACTTTGTTGATGCTTATTAGCAGGGTATGTCCTGCATAACAGATGCTCCCGGGTTGTCTGGTGTTATAGGCATGAGCCATCTTTTGATCACTGTTGGGTTAAGCGCAGTGCAAAATTATTTCACAGTTGTCTTGCGCCTTCTTGTACAGAAGTGGCGGGGTTTGAGGTTTGATATGAACGCGTAACAAGGCTCGTGTTGCTGCGAGGACTTTTTTTACTTGCATGAAGCATGTTGCGTGTATTTTGCAGCCACAGGTGCTGATGTGCTGAATATCAAGAAGGGAACCATTTCATAGTTGAGCTGTGATGATTTGCAAAGAAAAACAAAGGCCAGATGTTTCCTTCGATACAAGCGAGTCTCCATCTAGTGGTGGTGAAGAGTCACTAGGGCAGCCTTACTTTAATAGTCCATTAAAACAGTCGTCCATTTGTCAAAGGTTGCCGATATTCACATTTGATTTTTTTTTATTTAAGTACATCGTTAATTGATTTTATTTTCCGAAGGAAGCACTTTCTCTATATGGACATGATGTTAAATGTCATGAAGGCGAAATATTGCGAAGCACGTTGGTCGATTTTGTGCAGAGCGAATTTTGGGTTACGTTTATTATATTAATAATAACAATGCCCTTGACTTCACCAAGAGAGCCTCACTGAGTCTCAAGACTCTTCTTGGGAGGGTCCTGATACATTGAGATGTTTTGGCCAACTCCATGAAAGGGGTTGGCTTCGTGTGGGAGGAAACCCAATTCCCCCAGAATAACCCCACGCATATTTTTCAAGCGGGTAACACCTCGCAGATTAAAGCATCCATTTCTGCACTGCCATTTCCTGGCCACCTCTCAACACCAGCATACAACACTTGGTATTCCAAGGCAGTCTCTCGTCCATCCAAGTACTAAACACTGGCTCAGTCCTGCTTAGCTGTTGAGATCTGATGATTGGAAGCATTTGAAAGGGTGATTTTGACCTTGTATTATGAAAGGGTTAATTTTGCCGGTTTTTTAGCTGACTGTAAATATTCAAACGATTGGCAAACATGTTCATGGTGGCCACAACCATTAGGCGCAGCTCTGCAATTCAACCCGAGCTACACTTAAATGTCACGAAAAAAATCGTTCCATCTCCTTGTACTGTATTATATTTCCTCTCTGGGGGACCGCGGTTGCAGTGGTTAGCACAACGTACCGCTATAAATCCTGCTACACGAGTACTCCGGTTTAGTTCCCAGCTACAGATAACATCGTGGTGATTTATATCTGAATATCTGAAGCAGACGTAGCAATCCTCCCCTGCTAACCAAGCCCCCCTTCACCAATCCGCACTGACCACCGTGGTGAAGTATGGTTAAACGACCCCTCATGACTAACACTGTGTGGGAAGGCCTTCATCCAAACAGTGGATTTACAAAGAGCTGAAAAGTATTATTGTCAATGACTTTATTACTATATTAATTCTAAAAAGACCAGGATTTATTTACAAATGTGGTATGGATATATGGAGATGGGCATTTGTCGGAATGCGGTTTTAAAATATGATACCTTAACACATTTATAATCTAATGGGAAATGTACTCGTATTCATGAATTAATTGCAGAGTACTGCAGCCAAGAAAAAAACATTACATAAATTATACTTAAGTGGTTAGTCAATTGTATTATCTGATACAAAAGAGCGCAATTTAAAAATATGGGTTAAACACTGCAATGAAGTACTCTGATAAAAGCTTAACGATTGGGAAAGTAACGATGCATCAATTACTTTCAATGTCACATTGTGCTCACAACACGTGCACAGATTCCTACTTGTGTGACTCCATTGTTGATCATTTATGTATTACTACATGGTGTTACATCAAGGCTGAGTGAACAAAACTGTTTGAAGACAGAAAACATTTCAAATAATACAAACGAGGCAGTAAAAACGAGACAAAAAATACTTCATTTGGTTAAATAATGATCCCGAATCTACGTTATGAGTGAATTGTTACACGTTCATTAACAAGCCCACGTTACTGGCACCTTATGACCAGGGGTCAGATCTACACATGGCCAGGGATGGCCAAACCGCGGCTGGGCAGTTCCAAGTGCTGCTCGATGGAGACGTTTATATATATTTTTGACTTTTCAATTTTACTTCATTTGAAACGGGAAACATCTGCCGAATTGTGACTAGCCCGAGGCACTTGTGCCTGTGGCGGCGGAGCCAGACATGATGAGTACTTGTGGGGTGCTACTGTCGATTTTTTAAAAATTAAAAACTCCACAGCCAACCAGCGCACTAGCGAACTGGCTGTGACCACCGTTGTTGTTTTGTGGCGATCGGTCGCGTGAATATTTTGGTTCGGAAGGTCAGGAAGTTTGGTCACGCACTGACCACTTGTGTGAGCACCACTGCCGCTGTGCTCTCTTTCTTCCACACTCGGGTCACACAACACCACTAAAGAGACTGGAGACTCCGTTATCCCACGAGCGTACAAGACGCACAAGGCCGTTCAAGCACACGAGGCATACATTTCAGTTCCCCGCGTCCCTGTCGTCTTCCTGACACAGCAATGCAACGCCGTGCAGGAAGAAAACACCAAGCGACACAAATATAACCCGCAACAGATTGTGACGTCGATCTCATAACATCGGTGCACTCCATGAAAACCCCAGTGACTTGTTCTTGCGACCTTAAACGATGGAGTTCTGTGATAGCGCTCCGCAATTGGTCCACGATAATCCTTTCGGTTCACGATCCGAGGCCAAATCCAGTGTCTTATCCCGTGCACTTCCACCTGCAACGACGTTCCGCACGTGTTTCGTGTTTTTGCCCCGATACCCGCGTCCTTTCGCCTGTGCGCTTGTGAAGTTTGGCTTTTCGGGGCGTCGGTTCAAGCGATGATGGCTCGTGTCCCGGGGGGTGGGGGGGGGCATGCGTGCAAGCGGCTGCGACGGTTACTATTTGTGACTGGTCCTATTGATATGTTACCGATGTTTCAGGTGTTCTGTAGCTGAAGGTTGTGTGCTTTGATAATAAACGTTTTAAATACCATTATGTGCTTTAAGTTGACGTCCCGTATTGTGTTAATTGTATTGGTGGATTGCCAACTTGAAATGAAAAAAAAAATTCCGCTATCTTTCCTTCTGAAATCAACAACTGCCTTGTCTTGTGAATCCAAAATTCGTTCCTATTATGATCAATATCATCGTCGTTATTTTAATTTGTTGTTTTTTGTTGTTGTTATAACGTGGGTTGGATGACTGTACATTGGGTCAACGTGCTCGTCTCTTTTTGCAGCAGAAAACAATATTTTAAAACACTTTTTTTCCCCCTCTCTCCTTCAAACGAATAAAAAAAGTATGCCCGTTTCTGCTCTCAACAGCATCAATCGTTGTGTTCTTACTCGAGTCCAGTTTTGCAATGATGACCCTGTTAAAACTTTGCATGGCAAATCAGTGGCTCATTTATGTAATGCGTGTCTCTCTGTGTTAAGAAGAAGAAGACAAACGCTGCACAAAAACAAATATGTGCGGCTTTGCATTCGTGAGGCGTGTTTTGGCCTCGCACGCTGATGCCGTCGCTCCAAGATTGAATGTTTACTTACCGCACAAAGACAAATTAAACGCGGGGCGAGCCACCGAAAACTGACGGACGAAAGTAATTCATGAAGCACGGCACTGATGCGCCGCTTGCAATGTGTTCCGCTGAGACGACACGTGCACTGGCTAATCGAGCAGCAATTGAGCAGGAATTAACACCTTCGGCATCGTCGTCGTAAAAGCGTGCGCGTAAAATATAACCCCCAACGCCGCCATCACCAATGTGTTATTAATTTTTTGTTAATTATAGATACCGTAAGAAATTTGCTTTGTTGGTGGGGCAGCAGACGTCGCCATCAAATACATACCTAAGAGTTTTTTTGGGGTTAGATCGCGTAAATATATAAATGTGTCATTCAAACCCGCCACCACCCGACACAGCCAACTAGTAAGGGTTGTCACGTAAACAGAACGTGGCCAATTCGTCGCTAGTACAGCAACACCGGTGTGTTGGAGAGACAAGCCACAACATTTACAATCGGAGTACGACGTTTCACCAGTAATTACAACTAGTTTCATCATGGATGATATTGGTCGCGAAAGCCCACGTGTTAAATACAGATCTATCAACCCCTTATCAGTGCCCTACCTTATTACAGACCAATTCAAACCTTATTGGTCACCTCGTGCCCTAATAAATCTCAACGTTCATCCTTTAAGTCCCATCACAAGGGAGAACACACAAACATATAAACAAAACGTGTTTTTTGCCCGTATTGAAACGGCTGTACGCCGTATCGACCTGAAAACTCAAATTTCTTGTACAAAAGAATACTGGTAAACCGTATGGGTTTACGGGTATGCAAATATAACACAACATAATAATAATAATAATAAGAAAAATTGTACCATCGTTATGTATTGAAAAATTTAGCGCCGAGCTATCTAGGACCCGTATCTAATCGAGAGGGTCCTCGTCTATAAGCATCTGGCAGTTCACCATCATTGGTTCACTCGAGCTCCGCTGATGAGCCCCACTTAATAATCGGAACCAGAGTTTTGTTGTTGTTGTTAAACCAATGCTCCCGAAATTTTGCAGCCCCCAGAGGGGACCGTGTGACTGATGGAATGTGTAAAAAAAAAGACTTCGAATAAGTTATTGTGTGGAGGAACAAGTGCACATGCGAGTCAGACGAATTGTCCGCTCGTTTGATATTGCTGCTGATGTACAGGAACAATGTGCATGCATCATGTACGCTGATTACCATATGACTATCCCAAACGGTAATGACGACTCATTGTAATGTATATACATTCATTAACACCCCCCCCCGCCCCTCTCTCTGGACTTCGCACGTGAAAGGCTCACAAGTGACGACGTCACATCTACCCCTCTATTTCAGGAGCGAAACAGGAGGATTTCTTCACAAATCTGGCTGTTGCCTGATGCTGCTCGTTGTAATTACTGCCGAAACATCGTACTCAGATTGGAAATGTTGTGGATTTACTCTCCATCACACCGATGTGCTGTACTCGTAACGAATTGGCATGTTCTGCTTACGTGACAAACCTTACCATATTGGCTGTGTCGGGTGGTGGCGGGTTTAACGACACATTTATATATGTACGCGATCTAACCCAAAAAACCTCGATTGTCTTGAGCATGTTGAACATTTGACGGCTATCTTACGTGGGGACGTCTTGAGTGCTGAACGTTTAACGCCATCTTACGTGGGGGTGACTTGAGCTAACAGACAACATTATATGCCTGTAATGATTTTTTATATGGTGAAATTTTCCTTGGGGCCTACATCCACCTCTTTTGGACACGTACAGGTCGTTTTGTATCCATATTATTCCACTGATAGATAGACATTTGTCAATCAGCCTGCGTCTGTCGGAACACTTCACAACACAGTACTGGTAGCAAATCGTGTTACAAATCAATTCATAAGACGCGGACACATGCCATTTCACGTATTTTCGGGTCAATCTCAGACAGGCTGTAACGTTAAGACCCCTTCCCCATTTCCGTGAGAGACATTAGACCATACTTCACCATTCCGATTTAAAGCTTTCGTGACTGCAATGATTCATCTTCTTTGGTTCTTTCGGTAAAGTCCGAAAGAACCAAATTTATTATTTTATTCTCATTCTACGTGACTTTACCGAAAGAACCCAAGAACATACTTCACCACTCTGGTCAGTGCCGATCGAATGCAGATGTTGCCGCTATCCCCTCATGCTGCCCATCCACACACGATCCACGCTCGACTCTGCTGAGCGGTGGTGGGGTGGCGACGTGACCCAGGAATAGCGAACTCGCCGCTTGTTAGATGTTCACGGTTTCGATTGCGACGGCCGCCCTAGTTATTACTGCGGGCGTGTTAATTGCTTCACAGTTCACATCAAAGCATCCCACTAACGTAATTCGCAAGAATCCGAATGTTAATTTATACTGGAGGAATCCAATAAAGCTATGAATCTCTTTTTCACAGATGTCCAGAGTATGCCATTGCATCACGGGCGTCAGTCCAATTTCGCAACAAACAAAAAGACACCAAAAATTATTTAACTGAGCAAACGCACAGCAACCATCGCCCTCTAACTGCCGGACTCGTGCACACTTCCAGTCACTCTGTGCCGCACAGGGACAGCGTCCACAGAGAAACACCCTTTCAATTGCTTGAGATGAGATGCAAGTTGCTTATCGCTGTGTGACGCTTTCTAAGAACGTCCCGGATTAAAGGCGCGCTCCATCAAAACAAATTATCAGCGTGCCGAGATGTTGGCACATTCCGAGTCATTTGATCATATTGACTGGCCCTTTTATGACGAGACACTACGGGACCACACGCTGGTGCTTCGAACTCCCGGCGTAGCAGCTGATGGGCAACTATCTTAAATCGTCCCCCCCCACCCGAATCTTTCCACTCAACAGCATAAATGGGCTACATCAGCCGATCGGCAAGTTGCACGTGACGATTAAAAATTGTGGGTGTACTCAATTATCTTCCTCTCCCCCCTCTTTTCCGAACATTTTCACACCTGATGATTGCTTGTGTTGCAGTCGAAACGTCGTGAGAATTTTATTGTTTTATATTTTTATTTTATTGTTTCCCTTCTACGTGACTTTACCGAAAGAACCAAGAATATTACTCCAACCTCTTTAGACACATCTGGTAAGTGGAGGTTTGTCCAAATGCCCTCTACTCGTGCTCCCTCTAGCGGCTATAACGACACAATGCCCGACCCGCAAATAACCAAGACATCATAGCGATGCACTAAGCTGCTCCTGACACGGAAATCTGGCTTGACCATCTGAATGTGAAATTGTAGTTCGTGCTCTGCATCTACATCAGCCGTACAAAGGAAGGTAGTGTTATGAGTGTGTCTTTATGTAACGTATTTTCTGTGCCTTACGATTGACCCTGGTTTACAAAGTTGGAATAAACAATTGAACAGCACAAACAATGACGAGGCACAGAGTCCACGCAAGGTTGTATTGGAATAAAAATTATACAACGCCAACAAACGCCCTAATTGTAGTTTAGGTTTCATTTATTTCGTATCAAATTTGCTAATCACTCTCTTTTTTATGCAAAACCCGAAAAGAGTTCGTGGTACGTTATAACTAGACAGTCAGCACTATATATTTGACACTACAATATTAGCATTTATACACGAATATTAACAGCTGTCCTGTGGATAAACCGACTCCCGGCCACAGGGAATGTGGAAATTCCATCAACGACTCAAGGTAGCTGATTGCCAGCCACCCCTGTGTTCATTTGTGACGGGTGGCTCAAGTTGCTGTCGACAGTTTATTATACGAGTGACAAGTGTATTTTCATATCGTAATCAACGTTTGGTTTTATTGTTAACATTTCCGCGCAACATACAGCAAATGACTTCTGGCAGAGGTGGGGAACCTATGGGCCCCGCGGGGCCAGATACGACCCGTGGCTTCATTTCCTAAAACGCGTAGCTTACACCAGGGCTACTAACTTCTAAACAGCCCGCAAACGATATTCCATCAGCTTCTCAGCTGCAGTCATTGGGTACTGGGAGGGAATGTTCCAACCTGACTGCACTGTGCTTCCGATTTTAGCACGCTCAGAAACACTGGCTGTCTATAAAGTTGTAAGAAAAAGGCCAATCCAGCCCCAGCCTAATAAAAAATGTGGTGATGTTTCTGCTGCCTTGGCAGTGATGGAAAAGCACAATTAACCAGACAAACTAACAATTGGTCAATAACACTGCCTTCTAATTAAACATATACATCATAGGTGATGTTTTGGGCAATGGACGTTCGTCGTAGCAAATATGTTTAGTCCATCAAGGTTTCGTGTGTACTAATGTATGTTTCCCACTAAAGGTATTCGGCCCTGTGTAAAAGGTTCCCCACCACTGACTTGGATGATACCATTCTCACCTCTTAATATTACCCTTAATGTGCCTTGTCAAACATTACAGACAGTATGCCACTCTACTACGCATGGACACAATTCAAAATGACTCATGAACAAAGTTAAAACCGAAAACGAAAAAAAGATTATTCAACATTCTATGGTCTATAACATCTACAATCTACAACTTCACAGACAGGTTTACATTTTCAAAAGGTTAATTGGGAGGGGGGGGGGGGGGTTATCCTGTTTCGTTTGTTATATTGCTAATATAGGCCCTGTATTAAACAGAGTATTAAACTATCGACTAAATGTACAATGAATTTAAATCTGAACTTTGCTTTTTGTAAGTGCCAGTTTAAATAAACTATGTTGTCAAGAATCCCAGGGCAGGACGCTCCTCAAGTCTGAAGACTCGGGAGTAAATTATCCGAACCCCAATCTTGCCAACTCCTCAACGCGCAAAGTCGCCAAATAAACCGCAAAGAAGTTGCTCCATAGACCGTGTAAAGTTGCCAACAGTGTCATGAGCCAATTTACAAAAGACTGAACGGTAAACTGATACAGAATCATTAAAACACAAATTGAATCGTTCCAAAATCTGTACCATTTACTATGCAGCGAAGGTCGCTAGTTGTTGCTAGCTACTTTGAACAGCAAGTTGTTGACAGGGCAACCCGAAGAGGGGCTAGATCTAGGAAAAAAATCGCTGAGTTGGCAACACTGGACCCGGACTAAGTGTTTACCTGGCCAAATGAATGGTAAGTTGGCACAGCGCCACCGAATGGTTGCTGATGGAAGATAATTATCCAGGGTGAACACAAACCACACCGTGGACGAAGTCAGTTTAAAGGACAGAAGGGGAACAAGTTATCCATCGGCCTATTGGCAACCGGTCACACATTTCCAATGCACTTCAATTAAGTCAAAATCGATGTAAATTTAGCTTAGAACAAATGCGGATTTGGCTAAAACATCGTCATTATCTTGACTAATTGCTTTTAATCACCTTATTTTTGTTCTTTAATTTTTAAGGTTCAGAAGGTGCATAGGCTGATGGATGAATTACATATCCTTTTGGCTACTATTTTAATTACATACAGATGGTGTTAACTACAGATTACTAGGGGAACAGTTTTTCTTTAATATACAAAATGTGAGCTCAATCCCTTGTTTTACACTTAGAGAGTGAACACATCGACCAGGACTCTACACACTTCCACTCTCCTCTCCCACTGCAAAATGTCATGCATATTTGAACATTTTATAAAGGAATGTATCTCTTAAAGTAGACATCAAACTTCAATTGGACACTTTCATAGAACCGAACAAATCTTTTTTTTATGGACTTCAAAATTGACATCCTGTTTGATTTTTAAATTATCACATCCATTTGAATTGATAAATCTGCGAAATCGACACGTCTCACCAACACACCAGAGATTTCGGGTGCAGGCCGCGTGCACGGTTACACACTCTTAAACAAGAACACAGCAGAGGCTGTGGATAATTTTCTTGAGGCGAGCACAGCATTGCCCACCAAGGTCACGTCTTCGCCCAGTTAACAGATTGCTCACGACCCTACTGCTCATTCCAAAACCCTACAGGGGTGGGGTGGGGGGGGGGCTCCATTCCCCATCAGCACAGTATGAGGTGGTACGGTACACCCACATATAGCAGCAGGTCGCTCCTGCTCCTCTGCAGCCTCCACAGCCTGGAACTAACCGGCTCCCTGCCTGTACACACTGCCAGCCAACAAACCCCATCGTGAATATCTCAACTGAAAACCCTGTATGACGTATGGCATCTTATGACCGGGTCGGGCCCTTCCTTGTTTTTTTTTTTGCACCCTACATACTTGTATATGGGCACCCCTTGTTTTCATGGATGGCTCTTGGACCATTACAATGGATTACCATTCAGCACCATCTGCTCAACAAATGCTGGAGACTCTGTGAAAACAACCGATTATACAATCAAGAGGTACAGCGGATACAATCCGATACAATAGCTTGATTAAATGAAAACCCAATTTTGGAAATAATTGTTGCATCACCTCCCTACTCTCTACAAACCTCTATCAAATGGACAATGAGTTTTTGTGGGTTACCCAAGTCGCTTCAGGGTACACCTCAATTAGTCGTTTGAGTAAATTCAGAGTATACTCTCAACAAAATATTACTTTCTAGGCCGAGTTTTATGGGTTGTTACATTTTTCAAAGATACCCTTTTAATTTACCCTGCTTTAGCAAATGCGACGACTATACAATGGCTCAGAAGAATTCATCAACAGAAAACATTTAATTCCAGAGTACCCTGCATAAAATGTCTTTTCGATTCCTAAGTCAAACATTGTTCCAGTAATTTTGACATTTTTAACTCTGTACTGACTGCTCAGTACTTCATTAAAGAGTTTTCACAGAGCCTCGTTATTAGACGCTGTACAACAATGTGCTTTGTTGGCAAGTTGTTTTTGGAAATTCAGTACACCAAAGAAAAGTGTGTGATTGGTACAGACTGCAGCAGAGGGACAGTGACAAGTCCGATTCGATTCATCGTCCTTTATTAAACCAGGCGCAAGCCATCTGCGTTTCAAAAAGGAGACCTGGGAAATCGTAGTTGCTTAAGGGAGGATATTACTATGTTAGTTTCCATAACAAGTTAAATAAGCGACGGCTGCGCTATGCCTTGTAACCCCAAGAAGAATGGCTTCACAAAAAACAAAACTGTAAAGCCATTCCCAATGCCACTTAACAACCGACAGAGCCTCACGGGGACAGAATTTTAAATAGGAATCTCTGGCAAGAATTAACCGAGACCCTTAAGGCCATGATCCACAGGGGCAGTTTTGGATAAATCTACGCCAGCAACCGTCACCAGCAACTCTTGAAGAATGAGCGATGATGGCAACTGAACAGTGACAATTCTTGATGCGATCCATTCTTACCAGTCACTTGGTCGATGCATACATCTTATCTTACATAGATTTATATCGCACCTTAGTCCAAAGCGCTTGTGTTAATACGCTTTGATGAAAAGGAAAATCAATCAGAAGGCTCTCTCTCTTTCATCTATCCAGATCCCAGTCATGCACCGACGTAAAGCCACCATCTCTCAAACGAAGACTTTAGCTTGACTTCAGGCAAGTCACGTGACCTCTCATCTATCACCTTTTAGGAAGTTGCCATCTCGATTTGCCAACTAATAGGAGCTGTGACGAGGTTTAGTTCACATTTTGGGCAACTACATTTTTACAAGAGGAAACGCCTGCAGCAAACGTTGTCGACGCCTGCCCTAGTGGGATCATGGCCTTTAAGAGAGAACTGTGTTGAGGGTGTTCCCCAACCCTTATGAAGACCGCAGAACACTAAGCTGGCCATGTCAGCTGCATGTGTACAGAAGCGCGTTTGCCACCTGCAATGAAAGTGTTATTTATAGGCAAGTGCCAATTCAACCAACCCATCTCCCGCTGCCCTTCAATTTGATGTTCCAGTTAAGGTTGAAGGTCACGATTCGATACGCAATATTATTCTCATTTGCGTTGTATACCATCTCGTTTTGAACCGTAACCATTACAATTAAAGTAAAAAATCCTATGACATATGCACGAACCGAAAATAATGTATTCTCACATGCACACATTGATGTGAGCGTTGCAATTGGAAAGATATTTTAAATTAAAATTTGGTGAATCGTCACAGAGCTCATTTCTAGCAGTTTAAAACTTTTATTTATTCTAGAAACATTGTTTCATATAGCATCGTCGTTCAGGGAAATTGCATTAAACAATCACCAAGGAACCAGAGACACGCCTAAAGGCATCAGTCAGGCATGATGTGCCGAATCCTTGACCCATTTGCAATCTAGAGTAGTGGTTGTTAGCAGTCACAAGGTACAATTCCTCTCATTCCTGCACGACTAATTTTGCTGATCGGATTGGAGTAATGAGCTCTTCCCTCCTTAATGCACCATCCCCCACTGCAATTGCAGCTGTCTAACCTACGGATCAAATCACAGCAGGGTTGAATCTCGACAGTGCGTGGATGGGTGACCGCCATGCATATAACAACAGGTGTTATAGGCATTGGGGCAGCAGATGGCAGTGCAGCCACTGTTGTGTGTGCTATACCGCCCTGTCACCAGTCCGGACTGACCAGCGTGGGGCAGTATGGTCAAATAGCCCTCATGAGCAGCACCACAAAGGGTGATCCTCATCCAACAGTGGACAATCAGGCTCGAACTATCATACGAACTTACAGCATGCGTGTGCATCACACCACATCCGGCTTCATATTTTGCTTTAACGGAGAAACTCGCTTCTGGACGCAAATGCAGGTGTAGTGCATGGCAAAGTGTTCCGAGGTCTCTATGACCTTGAACGATATTCAATCGTTAACGACCCAAATCTATCCCCCGCACCCCCCGTGCGAAAGCGACGTGAAACCACGAGGTGGCGACGCGGAGCCGCACGGGAAGATGCACGCCGCCCCCATGCAGCCCACACAGACCGCCCTCCCCCCGCCCCGGGCTCTGTCGTCAACGCCGGGCGACCACGTGGAAAACCGCCGTCCGTCTAAGCCGCGGCGTCGGTGGACAAAAAAACAACAAACAACAGAAGGAGAGGTGACGGTAAAAAGAGACGGTCAAGTGAGGGAGGGGAGAAAGAACAACAATAAGATGAACAGAACGGGACGGACGGTTGACATGTCCTAGGGCTGCTGCTGTACCACCCGCAAAGATCACTCCAGCCCCTGCCGCGCGACTTGTTTCAATAGTGGGGTTGAAGGTGATAGACAAAAATTCAGGAGGGGGGAATAACACGGTGAACGTTAAACTTTCAGAAAACGTGAAAACGCTAAACAAGGGTAACAACGATATGATCTTCTCTTGCCTATCGTGCATTCTGCTCTAGCTCTCACCCCCTGTGTGTACAAACTTTGAAGAAAACCACAATTGGTGTTAAATATTGTACCAATATTTTTAGACTTGAGTATCAATTTAGAAGGAAGGGGGGGGGTGTAGTGGGGGGGGGCCCTCTCGAACCCTCTCCCACCCTCTCCCGGGCATTATGGGGCTGGACCTTTCTCCCCTTCGTTGTGCTGGCATAACATGTGATATTTTTGTTTCCGGTGCTCGTGAACACAAACGACCGTCATCGTCCCACACAGGGTCGGGTGGGGTGAGGGTGGGGGGAGGAGGTCAGGTGAGGCGAGGTCGTAGCGGGGCTGAGAGGTCACACTTTCACTGGAGACCAGGCCTACACGTGACTTACACCCCTGAAAAGAGAAAATAAACACACGCACACGAGAAACCTCAGAACTACGCAACGAGTGACAGTTCAGCGTGGTCCAGTGTGGTGGAGTGCACCCGTGTGGTGCGTTGTGAAGGGCAGTGTGGGTTTGTTCATCTGGTATGGCATACTGTGGTGCAGTGTGATATGACGTTCTGCAGTGCAGTACTGTGTAGTGCAGTGAAATGTTCAGTAGCGTAGTGCAGTGGTATCGAGCACAGTGCGGTATCGTGTGGAATAGTGCAGTGGTGTGTCGCACAGTCCAGCGAGTTTTATCAAAGCGCAGCGCAATGCGGTGTACTATAGTGCAGTGCCACGGAGCAGTGCGATGCAGTGTAAAGCAATGCAGTGTAGTGACCATGTAATGTGGAGCAATGCAGTTCATTGCAGTGTACTGCAGTGCAGTGCTTATTCGGTGTACCGCAGCGAAGCGTGGTATAACACAGTGCAGTACAGTAAGGTCTCAAGAGTACGCGGACCCACTCAAACGCGATCGACCCCGATTCATACTTATACTTGTGACTCGTACTTTCGCTACACCCATGGAGCGGGAAGAGAGTCAAATCACCCACCCCGCCAACGCACGAACATGGATTTGAGGCCGTATAACTGTATCGCCTGCGCAAGAAACGAGTCCAAAAAATATCTCGTGTTCTATCTGACCTGGATGCTACTGAAGATTTGTGAATCATTTACTGTACAGTACTGTACTCTATCAAACATTTCTGTACATTTATGTACATTTTATATCCACTCTAACATTTCATATACCACACTCGTATAGGCGAACCCCAACTTACGCGGGGGTACACAGAACCCAACCCCCGCGGTACTCTTGAGGCCTTACTGCATAACACTGTGCGGTGCAGTGTACCGCAGTACGGCGAGCACCCGCTCTGTCCACGTACCATACAGCATCGTGCGCGGCTCCGTCTCCGAGGCGACGGCGAGGGAGGGAGCGGGGGTGGGGGGTGCGGGGGTGAGGAGGAGGAAGCGTGAGCCCCCACCCCGGCCACCCCAGCCACCACCGCCGCCCCCCCCGCCCTCACCAGTCGTACCTCCTCACCGGCACCTCACTGTTAGCCCCGGCTGGCATGATAGCAGGGGTGCGGTCGGCACGGCGACGGTAGTCAACGCGACGGTCCCCACCTCCGCCGCCCGCGTACTGGGAGGTGCGGGAGCGGAACTCTGCGTCAAACGCCGGTGCTTCAGCTAGAGGGGGGGGGGGGGGGGGGGGGGGCAGAGGGGGGAGCCAGGGTTAGGGTATGGGATAAATTGGCGCCAACTTCAAACCAGCAGCCCTCACAGCACCACATCTGGAGCGTTAATTTCTGAAAAATGACCGGCCAGGCTGAGGGAAACGAATTGTATTTTAAGCGGTGGAGAATGGTCAAATTGGTGGAGCGGCGGCACAGTAGTTTGACACACACGGTGAAACTGGTGACATTAATATGATTGCCGGTCTAACAATAGCAGCAAATGTTATCTGAAACGGTTCTGGGTCCACCTTGACCAACCCACACTGACAAGCGTGAAGTATGGTCAAAGAATATTCATATAGCAGTCGATTAACAAATCGCTTGAATTATTATTATGGTCAGATAACACCCATGACTGGCATGGCAAGGGCCCCCTCATGAAGCAGTCAACTGACAAAAGGGCCGTAGATGTAGGTGATTAATTTGTCCAGAAGAGCTTCACCAAGTTTCAAGACAATGCATCAGGAGGCAGCTGCCTTTCGAGGAGGGGTTCGCGTGTGGGAGGAAACCCAAAAATACCCAGGGGAAAACCCACACTCCAAGAGAGAACACCGAGATGAGTCACAAGAAAAATTAGCTGGAATTGCCATTAGTCAGCTACCTTCACAGCCCAGCAGGTTTGATAGTGTTAGAAAATCTGCCATGATCCGTCAACTCTTGCCTCCGAAGCGCTAGATCAAGGGCGCAGTGCCAACATGCCAGGCCAGGCTTAGCAGCTGGTAAGGGGGCTGTAAGTGGGGCTGGTGTCGGGTTTGTGACATTCAGACACAGTGGCGAGAACTCAGATACCAGAGTGAGCATCTTGGCCAAAGGCTTCCAAGTCCCCGAGCTTAAAATAACATTACTTGTAAACAAAACTAAGTTTGCACTCTGTCAAATGATAATGAAAAAATGGGTGTGCGTAACCATAGATACTTTATGGACAGCGACAAACCTGTTTACAACAGGGTTGCAGATAATTTATAGGCTACGGACTTGACACTGGTATACGTATTTAAATATTAACATTACAGGAACGCTTGGTAAGGTGCAGAAGCACAAATGTAGTAAACCTCACCACATTCGTCATTAACACTGCCCTATAAAATAAACTAAACACTAGTCTGACGTTTTGCATGACAGTCCTTCAAAAATAAAGTAGTCTGTTCAAATTTTTTGGTCAAATAATTAGCAAGGGATGCCACCTGGCATAATGGTTAGCACACTGGCCTTGCAATCCAGAGGACGCTGGCTTGAATCCGTCTCCTGCTGTGCCTCCTTCCACACAGCTGTATAAATGGGTAAACTACAGATAGGCAGGTTGGGTGCGGGTGAGGCAAGTGTGGCTAACAGCACTTGCCCCAACAGTCTGTTATGGCTATACGGGGGATATTTTGTCTTTGTGGGTACTATGACCTCGTTCCATGATGGCTGGCAGGCCAAATACCCTTCATAGGGGGCCTCTCATGAGCTCCCTCTAGCGAAGGCGCTGCTACCAGCAGTGGCGTGTGCAATTAATGCCAACGATGGACCTTCGCCTAACCAAACTTAATCGACCGATCGTCCTGGCTCTAGCGGTAGGACAGGAGGTTGTGGGTTCAATCCCGACCCTGACGCTTGTACATCTGAAGTTTGCGCTTTCTTACTGTGGCCGCAGGGATTTTTCTCCAGGTCCTCCGGGTTGTCCCTCCACATTCAAATTCAATGTGCGTTCAGAGTATTTGACTGCTATACATTTCCACATGATAAGCTACTTTCTGGGGCTATCACTTGTGACCGGGTCACTTCTGAAAAAGACCTATATAGCTCAGTGGGTCTCACCTGGTGAGATAAAAAATATGTTAAGTTTAGTTTTACTCACTCTCCTCCAGGTTGATGAAGTCCTGGTTCTCCTCGCGGTTGCCCGTGCGATGGTTGCGCGAGCGCTCAATGATGTGGGCGCGCTCGCCAATGTGGTGGCCGATGGACATCTTCTCGAAGCCGCTCTCCGAGTCGCGCACCGACCGCCGCACCTCCCGCACCTGCTCACGCCCGACACCACGGAGACCCCGCCCCACCATCAGCTCGGCATCGCTCACTGCTCAACGCTGACCGCTCACCGCCACCCTCGGCTCAAGCTGACAATGGCCCAACTGCCGTTTATCAGCCCACTCATGGTTTGCGGGCAACCGTGGGTTCTCATTTTGGTTTTTTTTTACCCCAAATTCAAATTGAGTACCACAATGGGTACCTGCTCAGTGCTCTAACACAGTTTAAACCCCGGGGTCCAACCGACGTGTAGACCAGAGAAGCCACATCTTAACCGATGTTACAAAGGAACAGTTGTTAATAGCTTTAAGTTTTCTAACGAATTAACATGTCTCTACACTCCATTGGCGGCACTGAGCCGGCGGTTTCTATGGTGAGGACCGGTCTCTCTATAGGGTTAGATCACAAAAATATGAATGTTTTGTTAAACCATGTTAAACTGAGTAAGAGCAATCTGCCATAGCTTCATACCCACATTTCACTGTGATGATTTTTTAATTAGGGATTGATCCCATTAAACAATACGTTTCTTGGCATGTCTCCTCGTGTGGTCGTCAGATGGCATGTGTCGGAATAGTAGGTTGTCACCGAATGATAATTGCGTACTGCGTGTTAATTGAGTGGTGCATGTTGTTGCTATGTGTTCATTTCGTATTTCACTGTAGTGTGTGCATTTGCCGAATTGTGTACATGTTTGCTGTGGAGTGTAAATGTTATGCATTTGCAAGTGTGTTTTGTATCTTGACTTAAAGCTTTCGCGACTGCATATTCTTGGGTCTTTCGGTAAAGTCACGTAGATAGGTTCAAAGAAAAGAACAAAAAATAACAAAAAACTACGACGTTTCGATCGCAACACAAGCGGTCATCTTCAGGCAAAGGGGGGGGGGGGGTTAGCTTCCAAGTCAAACTGTTTATAAGGGTTTGAAATGGGCGTATAGCCCAAATGTCAGCAGCCAATGGTAATGTAAGTGGTGGGCAGCCAACCAGACGGTGGTTGGTTTTCCACCAATCAAAGGGCTGCCAGGTGAAAATTTGCATGTTAAAGAGAGATTAGCAAGTTAATGGTAGATCGCAGAGCCGCAACCAAGGGGTCGGCACGCGAAGTGACTGTGAAGGCGCAAGTTTGTGTTGTGTCCATTTCTTGTAGTATGTGTATTCCATTAAGTGTTTGTTTGTGTGTTTTCTGTGGAGTGCATTTGTTGTTTTTTCTTTGCTAGTGTGTTGTAATTGTTGTGGTATGTGTAATTGATTACGTGTATTTTTTCTGGTGCTGTAGGATGTTATGTGTATTCTGTGGAGTGTATTTGTTCGAGTACATATTTTTTCTGCTCTGTGTAATTGAATAGTGTATGTGTATGCTGCGTGTAGTGGTGTATTCTCCACAGCGTGGATATTTCGTGCACTGCGTTTTGACTCTGCATACTGTGAGTAATGTCGTGATGCATATATTTATAAGTCTATTCCATGACCGCCGTGTGCACAAGTGTGCATTATCCATGCTGTCAATTTGTTGTGGTGTATGTGTATTTATAATACTAATCCCTTCATTCATCCACAAAGCCTCACCGAGTCTCAAGGCTCTTATTGTGATGTGTTCCGCGTGTATTATCCATGTTGTGCGTATTTGCTGTGATACGTGACCTTACATCAAATTTATACCCTTTTTCTCCCTCCGTGAAAGCCTCAAACTCAAGACTCTTTTCATGTATGCCGTTTCTATGGTATATCTGGTGGCGTTCTAAATGGTGTGTGTAGATGTCACGGTGTGTTTCGTGGTTGTGTATAATCCGTGATGTATGGATTCACTGTTGTGTTTACCTTCACTGTGGTATGTACCTCCACTGCAGGGAATTTCCCGTGGTGTGTTCCGTATTTGTGGTGTGTTGTGTATTATCTCTGCCGTGTGTTCCTATTTATTTAGTTTAACCAGGCATCCCTAGTCTGTGTTCCGTGCATTATCCAAGTGAAGGATATTTGCTGCGATGCGCGAATCCGCCGCGGGATTTGCCACGACTGTGGACAGCACGCCTTGGCGTGCAGGATGTGGAGCATGCCGCTACCGCCGTGCGGGGCACATGATGCGGTGCGACTCATGGCGGTGCGATTCGGTGCAACGCATGGCGGTGCGACGCTTACCCCCCCGGGCACTTGGTGGGTCTGGCTGCTCGCCTGGTAGACACGGGGAGGCCCGTCACCCATGTTGCTGTAGGACATGACGGTGGTGGACGAGAAGGAGTGCCCGTTCGGGTTGGGGCTGATTGTCTCCTGGGGACACAACGTGCACTGTGCCTGCATCAACTCTGCGGCGCTTGAAAATCACCCTGGGCTTGACGTCGCTCCGACTTAAAAAAAAAAACTATATTAAAACAATTACAAAACAGATTCAGAATATATTTTTTCGGAATGGCCACGTAATGATCTAGCCAAATTGTTATCGTGTAACCCTTCACCACCTGACAGACCAACAAAAAAAAAGTCGTGCGTACAAGTATTTTACGCGCCAATTATTGTTGTCTCAGCTCACCGGTAAATCGAAGAACAATTCTCGTAATTAAATGAAGCACTTCAACACAACACTTCGCTTGAAACTGCATCGAGAATCCCATGCCAGAAACCAGGAGGTAAGAATGCAAACTATTCAACTAAATCTACGGTTGACCGCCACTTGTTCGAACAATAATATTTTAAATCATGCATACAGGCATGGACTCTCTTCACGATTTATAACGTGCGTTTGTCCTCTGTAATATTAATTTGGCACTGATAACGTTACCTTTCGAGCCGCACAACGAGAAGATGCGTATACCGCGCATGAGGTATGGACCTCGTGAAAATCCAGTACACATCATGGGGAAGCGACGCACGCACGCACAACGGCGCGTGATGTCAACGCACTGGCCGAAAAGGCTGACATATCTAACGCTGGTATTTTACCGCCAAGTTTTTAGCAACCCTTTCATCAATTTGTTTGGGTTTCTAGAGGGTAACACAACTTTATACAAAAATTATATTTATATTCGAGCATCTTTACGAAAGTTATCCAATCTACAGAGTTAATTAATGCATAACGCTTTAATGCTTTCAACTTTAGTTTAAACGCATAAAAAAAACATTTCAATTAAAACAATTGCTGATGCCCAAGCGACTCTGGAGTCAGCAGTGCGTGTTCACCCGGTACTCACATAATTTCCGTGCATATCAGACGACATCATGCTGTGCATGTTGCTGATCATGCTGTCCATCATCTGGAACGGATTCATCATGACACCCGACTGCACACAGCGACCGGAGGGAAGAGACAGGGAGGAGCGACGGCATGCAGCATGGCAAAAAAAGACTCAGCGAGCGACACCCACACGTGACGGCCGTTTCTTATTTTCACTTGAAGGATGAAGAAGCTCCCAAATGAACAAGTTAAATTGTTGCAATTTATTCATCAATAGCAGCGCCAATGCACAGTAGCGCCAGTATATTTTGCCTGCTGACAATGGAAAAAATAGATTTTTCCTCCCGAGTCCATGTTACACAAACAAAGGAACCAAGCACAACATGCATTGTGCAAAGTGCCACAATTGTAGTGCCGGCTCCCAGCAAGCATTGCACTTTACAGCATCACTGGAGCACACAATGATGGCCATTTAAAATTACATTTTCTCTCACAAAAGCAGCTTAAACCGATTTTAGACAGCGCAGGACGAGCATCCTAATGTACCAATCTATAAGACAAGAGTATTTGTTATGTTGGTTAGCAGTTACATTTTTGAAGCCACAACCAACTCTGGATTATTTACCGGAGTATCATTCGAGTTTACGAAATAAGCGTGCGTGCGGAATTTTTTGGTCATTTACACACGCGCTGGTTAAATTATTAGCTGCCTCATGACTTCTAACACGTCGGCAAGTAAAAGGATTACTTTAAGAAGCAAAAAAAAACACATTATAAATCTTCACCCCTAAACTTATGTAGTTAAGTAATAAATACAGAATTTTGTCCCACATATTTATTTTGCATTATCCGTGTTTGCATTGTTCTCATATCCGGGCCATCCTTCCCTATTCCACTGCAGATAACCAAGAGTTGCTTGCATTTCCATGATTTGTAATAAATTTAAAACCCTCATGCTGTACAGGTGGCAGGGGCGGCTCAGGGGACCAACGTTGATGTTAAGTCATACGTTGGCTAGACGACATGCAATCAGCATCCGCGGGAGCTATTTTTGGAGCGACTAATTCTTCCTTCACGGCACCTCGGCCAGCCTCGGCGCCCCCACGTCACGTCTCGCGAGCACGGCCGATCCTCCACAGCAGGATTTCTTATTTTTAGGATTACGTGGGAGGTTTTTTTCCTTCGAATATTTTTAGTTGGTATGTTTTTTTCGCGCTTAACATTCCAATTGCGTTTATTAGCACCATGTCACGAGGCGAGGATATTTACATTCGGAACTCTCGCAACTAGAGATTAGCCTCTGGAAGGAGATGTCATAGAACTACTTCTGAGTCTCTTGAATTGCCCCTTAAAGACAAGAGGTGGTGCACCTTACCACAAGCACAACTGAAGATGTGTTTGTTACATAACAGTCAAAACAAAAACAAAATATCCTCAGTCTTGAAATATGCCAAACGAAGCAAAAACCAAGTTTTATATCATGGTAATGTATGCAGTTATGGTAATCACGGTAATTTATGGCCACAAGGCTGAGACAAACAACTCAATACATTTGAGAAGCCAATTTAATCCCAGATTGCCAATTTGTAACTCAAGTTGTCAGAGGTACCAGTTCAGTGCTCCAACACGGTATTACCACTCGACCACATCTAGGATAAAATGTTAAAGGAATACAAAATAACATGATTCAGTTACTATGCAGCAAGGATACAAAGCAAGCATAACCGTCCAAAAAAATGTTTTCGCTCAGATCAGTTTGTATACTTGATGGCGTGAGGTTTCTTGACGAAATGCAATACAAAATAGGCAAAAAAACGAACAGACAATAAGCTCTTAAAAATAAAACATGAAGCTCTCACCATCGGGTTTCCGAAGGCGCCGAACGGAGAGAGCTGCATTCCGAAACCCTGCGAAGCAGACGAGAGACCCAAGTTGAGGAAGCGCCAACACCACAATTAGCCCACGTCACATATCAAACGCATAAAATGGGGCAGTGATTAATGCAGATGCTCCTGAAACCAAAAACTACTGCCAGCTTGGCTTGAAGGAATACCCGACAAATAGAAAACAACCCTTACTATTTGGCCACACATATCCCGTGTGTCCACATCCGTTGCCCACACAAGTTTGAAGCTCTGCGGAGACGCAATGATGAGTTTGCACTGCAACATGAACCGAGTTAAATTCCTGACCACGGCTAACATCTGCAACGAGAGATATCTGGACCTGTCCTGGGCTCTCCCCTGACCCGCACCTCCGATGAGCATAGTTGGCCAAGTACGGTGCAAAAGAAGTTCAACATAAATATATGACTAGCAAAGTGAGGAGTGGTCAAACAACCTCCGGGACTAATTTGGTGTGGGAAGGCTTTCACGGTTTAACCCGCTGCCATAGACCTCACTCCCAGTAATTGTAACTTAACGTCAATGCAACAATACAGCTAGACCATTACAATGGCGCAGATTATCAACGTTTTTGACGTATTTTTTATTTGTTTAAAAAATCTCACGCTATATATCCTGAAGCACACAACCAAATATGTAACTAAAAGCGACGAGCTACTTGTTATTTTGAGGTGATGTATTCCTTTAACACTGGCACGGCTCATGAGGTTTATTTATAAAGGGCGACAGGTTAACAAAAATGTGGCAGATGCTGCTTGGTCACGACCCAGTGAGATACAAAGACGGTTAGGCAGGGAACAGCCAATAGCGTTTAGTCACTGGGACACACAAATCATGTAATTAAAATCCCGACAACACAAAATTACAAACAACCCACTGAAGTTAATGTCTGGACCAAAAAGATAAAGGAAATTACAGAGTTGCTTAAAGGAGTATCATGATTTATAAATAAATATATTCTTAGCCTTATGCAATACGTATTGAAATATGCGCGTCAGATATTATTTATGACATTTAAAATAAAGCAGCACATGTTGCATTAAAGCTAATGAAATAAACGAGAGAACGAGACAAGGCATTTAAGACGACACAAACACATCCCAATACAACCAATTTCTGCTCAAACAAATGCTGCTTCATGGTTTCTGGGCTGATGGTCTCGGTATTCTTTTCACGGAACGGAATCCTGCGTATAATTTATTTTCACCCATATGCTTCACGGCAACGCATAATGAGCACGTGCATGAATTCTCAAGACCAAACTGTGATTCATCAAATTCCGTGGCGCCAGGGATCAATCATGACGCATCAGCCTCTTCACACCAAAGAACTCAACACCAGAACAATACGTTTCAAAACCGTTTTCTCTTGGCGACCTGTCACCGGCATTTCCTGCCACGGTCTTGGGTTTTATATCGACCCGCGATGAGGTCACAAGCGAGGCACGAAGGCTCGCGTGGGATTATTGACGTTTCCAACTCGAGCGTAAACAAGCACAAATCGCACACACAGCATATCGTGCCACCCACAGGACAACGCACGCCTCCATCACTGCCCAAAACAGAATGCTGAATTATTAATGTTTTTACTCAGCGCCTTATTCGGCAACCTTAGAAATGTTGCTGCTCCCTCGCCACAGCCGTATAACCAAGGCCTCAAGAGTTCAGAAGCCAGCAGCTCAAACTTTTGGCCCTGCTCACTAACAGACCACATTGAAGCACAGCACGAAGAGGGCTGTTGTGGCTGTTCAGAGTCCCACTCGTCCATTTACACTTACCCTATTCTGCGGATTATAAGATACTTTTTTCCCCTCTGTATTCTAAAGAAAAAGTTGTGTGTTTGTGTGCGAGTCCAGATTTGTATAACTTTATCGACACAGGGCACAAGCTTGCGGTGTGTCTTATTTTACAGTGTCTTATAATCCAGAGAATATGGTAAATGTCTTCCAGAAAAAGTACTTTAATCGAGTTGTTCGGAACCATCTTCCTGAAGACGGTTCTTTAGCATAATACATTATCCCTCCTTAGGCGTGGGTTTTATACGGTACTCTAATCTCCTGTTCTGCGCAAAGCACTCATCAGTAAGGAGATGGCCAAACATCCCAATGCAATAACCTCCTGAAACGCAGTCTTGATCACGACGGTGGCTTTCCTGAATGAATTACTGTATTAATATTGTACAGTTAATCTCCTTGAATTCCACAGATGTTGCCATGATATAATGGTTAGCACAATGGACCTGCAATTCAGAGGTCATCAATTCAATCTGACATCAGAATCAAAACCTTTATTTAGACTGGAGGAATCCGATGAGCTACGAAGCTCTTTTTCAAACGGCATTTGAAACAGTGTAGCAAGTTTCTCAAATCCCCCTGCCTCTATCCACTCACAGTATGAATGGGTTCACCACAGTTCCTTGACAGGCAGGACGTATATAATGGTGGGGTAGAGTGTGGGTACTCCAACCTCTTCCAAGACATCTGAACGGCGTGATAGAGGCGGCCATAAAGACACTCAAGAGGGGAGTCCAGCGCTCCCTCAAGTGGACGCCCCTCCACCAAAAGTAGAATAAGCAACCAATTACAGGGCTACACCATTACCGTTAATCCTACAATAATTCCAACAGAGAATTTGCTTAGTGGCATAGCCAAGTATAAAAAAGTGCAACAAATAACACAGCTAAAATGACAAACACCCTAAATAATTGTTTTGCAACAACTTAGACCGCCGTTAGTGATACAGTGCACGTGTGGCCAAATCAACTCAACAAGGTCCAAACTACAGCACTCATTGGACACTCAAACAGTGCGGGCGCCTCGCCGTTAATACGGCACAGCTGGGTGTGCGGCAACGCGACTTGTTAAACGTTCGATTTAAAAGCTAAGGAGACACTTGGGGGAGGATAGGCGCACTGCCCAGACTCCTCACTCTCGGCGACGAGTGCCCGTTTTCACACTCAGCCTTAAATGACGCGTGTAACGCTTTAGAGTGTGAAACAAAACACGGCTGCGTAAAAATAAAAACCAGTGACACAGGTGGCCATGGGCTTCAGCAAATCGACCCAGACGCAAAATATATTTTTTCAAATTCAGCCACGAGGCTCATAGCTCAACATTTCAACACCCGTAAGTGGCAACATCTCCAGCATAAACTGTGATTAGAAATGTTAATTTATTAATTCAGTACCTCCCTCCATAATCTGAAGGACTGGAGGCTCTTTGTAGCCACTCACAGAGTGCGCTTTGCCGGGGTGAGAAAGGAATCCCTGCAGAATACTAACAAAAATAAACAACAAATCTTGAATCAAACGATTCCTAATCATGATGATTAATCCAACCAGTGAGGGGATATGCTGCCATCTCATCGTGGTTAGCACACTGGACTTGCAATCCAGGTCACAGGTTCATTGGGCAAGTTTCTTAAAATCGCCCACCGCTATCGACCCAGGAATATAAATGGGTACACCCACAGTTAATAATCAGCAAGTTGCGAATGGTGGGATAAAGTTTACATACTCCGATCTCTTCAAAGATGTATAACCAGTGTTGAAGAGCAGGCCAATAATACCCTGTGGGGTGGCTCTCCAGAGCTCCCTTTAGTGGAGGCCCCTCCACCAGCAGTGGCACAACAAATCAATTGCGGGGCTGCAACTTTTACAGTGCGGAGGTCGAAACGAGAAACGCCGACGTCAGCCTCACCAATCTCGGGAACGGAGCAAAGAGGCCCATGGGGGCACGGGCGTCGGGCAGAGCGAGGGGCATCGGCGCTGGGAAGCCCTGCATTGCGCGCCGCACGCGCTCGTGATGTGCCCGGAACGGGTCGCTGCTTGGGAGAGAGACGGCGCCACCAGTCGTGTTTGCGGGGACCGGTAGGGTCCAGGAATTTGTGGGGGGTGGGGGGAGATGGGTTCGAGAGATGGGGAGAGAGAGCAAAAGAGACCGCGCACGGGGGAGGAACGGGTGCACAGATTAAAGTGTTGCCATCGCTGTTATACTGAGCTACACTTTTAGGTCATGTACACATCCTTATTCCATGTAGTCTTTACCAGTCAGACATTTCCTGCTCGATTGAGCATTAATGCATTGTTTACAGTCCTGAGCTTGTCGTGAAAATACTACATGCCTTCAGCTGGATCAATCTATGCATACAACAATCACTGTTGACTTCCCACAGAGTTGTCTTTATTTTATGGACCCCGGAGGGATGGTGGGCCGAGTCAACCCCCCCCCCCAACCAGGATTTTAACTTACAACTTTCCGATTGTGAGCTGCTCAATCTACCCTGAGCCACTTGGCCAATGTTTTTTTTATAGCCATAGGTTTCTCTAATTTATGCGTATAATAGTAATACAGCCATATATACTGAATGAGGTTCTCTTAACACGATGTGGGCCGAGGATTATTTTTAAAAAATTACCTTAAGGCACTTTTTGGTGACTCCATGCTCATTACATTCCGCCATTTTACCCAACTTCAATCAAATGTCATTTAGATTTTACGTAGTTAATAGCTTCCTTCCATTAATCTAAGGGTGGGAGCAGTGGTGCAGTGGTTAGTAGCATTCAGGCCGATTCCCGGTCATGACAAACATCGGTGGCGATAATGATCTGAACTCGGTCTGGATGCCCCACCCTTGCACAACCTTCACTGACCAGAGTGGTGAATTATGGCCAAACACCACTCATTACCAGCACAGCGTGGAGAAGGCCTTCATCTAAGCAGTGGATTGACAAAGGGCTGTACGTTATTTATTGACACTGTAATTTCAGTATTTTGTTGTTGTTCATGTATTGTTCCTCAGAATGATTCTTTATGATCAGGGTGCTGCATAGGGACTTTTTGCGAATGTTTTTTTTTATCAGAGTTTTTTTCTTGTGGAAAGAAATCTAGTGGCCAGAAAAGCTGACTGTGCATACAAGGGGATAACAGATGGGTTAACAGAAAAAATATAACATGTAACTGGCATCTTTCTGGTCATCTCCAAAAGTTTTGGGAATTTCACGAAACCTGGGCAATCCACCAACCCTTTGCCTCAAAAATGCTAGATCAGAGACGTGCACCATCACACCCCAACTTGGAAATCATAGGCAAAGTTTTAGCTCTCTGGGTTGTTACAGTGTTCTAAAATCAAACTCAAAACAGTTATCAATCTTGATTTGAAGCTTTCGTGACTGCTATTAAGGCTGGATTCAATGCACCAAGATATGGTTCAAAAGTCTTGGAATAATGTATTCACATGATGCAGACGTTGGGAGTAAAAAAAAACACAAATGTATTGAGTTAAATTTACATGTTCTTTCTTTCCTAATCACAAGTTCATATCCACCATGAAAGCTTACACGTGCAATGTGGGCAACTGCCTTATAAAGCCAAAAACTCAACCCGCTACAGCCGCAGCAGCACGATTGCCCAGCCTTTTGTGTATGTGCAGTGCAGGAGCACAAAAACAAACACACAAATGCATAAACACACGCACAAAAACTCACTCACGGAACAGCACATAGGCATCTTCTCACAGATTCGCAGACTCCCACGCACACATAATAGTTGACCAAAGAGATGCTAATACAGTATTTTTATCAACCAAAATATGTGCTGATACACGTAACTTTGTTTACCATGTAAAACAAAGCATACATTTGATATTAAAGGGCGACTACACTAAAAAAAACTGGATTGGGAGTGTGCGGATTTTTAGCATCTAGTAGTTTATGACTCTCGCAAGAGTCTGGTTGAATGTGTAAATGCATTGTAGGGAGCAGAGGTGCACTGATTTACAAACTGCACTCCAAACCCAAAAACATGGCTTCGAATCTTAGTCACCACGAAGATTTATGGCAAGTGGTCTCAAAAATTAATCTGGCCCTCCCCTATGTGGACTCAAGACTCAACCTGGTGTGGTGTGTAAACATCAGGACGAGGGAGTCAAAGGGGACCAGGCATGATGCTAGCATCACCAACCCCTTTTGTGTGCTGTGCCAGGCTTAATAAGTGCTTTTAACACCGCATTTGCCACATTCATAAATAATGCCATACGGAATAACTTTTGTATTTGTAAATGAATATGTAAATTATTTACATAACCACGGCATACCATGCAATAAACAGCACATTGCATTATTCCCTCTTCTGACCCAGAGGGCATGAACGATGCCAGTACACAGCAGTGTGGCTGATGGGATGCATCAAAATTAGTATTTTATGTGGAGGGACAGACAAGTGAAGGAGGCTTATTATCAGCTTATTTACTTTTTTGATGTTGAGTCACTTCACTGAATACCAACCCTGACCCTAACCTTACCCACCACTCTTAACGACCCCGCCCCCCCTCCAGGTAAACAATCACAAAAGGCTCTCACACCTGTTCAAATATGCCCTCTACATGAATTCCTTTTTTTTAATACCTGGGTCTGGAAAACAAAATTATAAAACTGGTTGCAGAGCACTCAACAGCCGATGGGCAACACCAATTAGACATTAATAAACATTCATCCATTACCTGGTCTCCAATGAAAGCTGACATTTAAAAAGCAGCCCCCACAAACCGTACAATACAACGCATTATTTTTTATATAGCATTTTTTTATATAGCGCTCGTAATGGCAGAGCATCTCAGGGAACTTTACAATACAATCTTCCATACACCTCGGCTGTTTTTAATGGAATGCCCTGAATTTCAAAACCTGTTACATAAAATGTGCTATACAATCAGTCAATGAACATAATGTGTCTGAATGCGATTGCATCTGCAGATACTCCACAGAAACGGTGCGTGTGATTATTTTTTCGTGAGGGGCAGAAGGAAAATGTTTTGAGCTTGGACTTGAAACAGCCATGGGTAGACGACAGCACGGATGTCTGAGGAAGGGAGTGCAAGGCAACATGGGCAACCGAGGAAGAATGAGCGATGTCCCATGGAACAAATGTTGACTCGTGGCCGACAGAAGGCCTTGGTTGCTGGAGCGGAGTGTGTGGAGGGGAGTAGAGTGGGATGAGAAGGTTCAAGTGATTGGCAGGTGCAAGTCCGTGGAAAATCACAAAGATGGTGGATGGTAGTTTCGGGGTAAAATGGTCTCGTTTGTGGCCGAGATGTTTGGCAGCATTATTTTGAATCAACACCGAGTTTGCAAATGACAGATTTTGGGAGGCCTTGATAAAGTCATGAATGTGGGTTATAATAGCAGGTGGATGCGGAAAATGTTGTACAGATGGTGGTATGAGGTCCTGCAAAGGTACTATCTACACCAACTCCAAGGTTTTGCACTATTTCCTTGTAAAATGTTACAGTTTAGGAGTGGTGTATGAGATCAGTTGGGCGAGATCCGTGCATTATAAAACTGACCGGAAGGTTGCTGGAATAAAATAAAATCATCAACATAGATGTTGAAATCTTCCGTAACGATCAGTCGCATAGAGGAGACGATGACGCCAAGGTGGGGTCAGTAAAGTCAGACATGGAGATTGGGTTTAGATTTAGTGGGATGGTAGATGGCAAGAGTTTGAGCTTGGAAGGGAGTTGAGGATGCGATAGAAGAGTTGGGATGGGAGGGACGTGAAGACGGCAAAGTTAAAGCGAACGACAGCAGGATTAAGGAAGGTCACAGGATAGGCGGACACCCAGAGAAAGATAAGAGACGCGACAAAAACATAACACTGGAATTTTTCGATTTAAAGTTTTCGTGACTGCAAGGATTCATCTTCTTTGGTTCTTTCGGTAAAGTCACGTAGAATGAGAATAAAATAATAAAATAAAACAATAAAATTCTCACGACGTTTCGGCCACAACACAAGTGGCCTTCTTCAGGAACAAACCTGACAGGTTTGTTCCTTTCACCTGAAGAAGGCCACTAGTGTTGTGGCCGAAACGTCGTGAGAATTTTATTGTTTTATTTTATTCTCATTCTACGTGACTTTACCGAAAGAACCAAAGAAGAAACACTGGAATCTTGAGGGAAATTAGATGCAAATACAGACTCACGTGAGACAATAGCGAAAGTTCTAAGACTCGGTGAGAAAATAAGATGGATAAATAACAAAGATACACAGACACACGTGAAACAAAGACTGTACATAAGACACCAGCACATCACACAAGAGAAAATATACATAGAGAGACAGAGTGAACATGCAAAAAAGAACAGTGAGAGAACAGGTGAATAAGAGACTGAATGAAGACAGACAGTGAAAGATAAAACATATAAAGACCAGGAGGAGTTCGATAAGAGAAAAACTGGGAGGCTGCCAAGGTACGCAGACTGAGAGATGCATAAGACATAGATGAAGACTTCGATAAAACAATACGGTATACAGTATAGCTCAGACGGAAGCGAGACGTAGAAGTCACATTGAGAGGTGAGACGCATACAAACTTAAATAAACCATGCTACAAGACATGTCCATACAATGAGACAGAGACAGGAGAGAAGCGCTAAGATACTGTAATAATACGCAGCGAGACAGGTAGAGATAACATAAATCCATAACCCGACGGAATGAAAACAGAGCGATTAAGATAGTATACGTCACTATATAAACGAAAGTATGACGAACAAACAAAGATCCGCCGCATAGACTTAATAGACTGATGGGGCAAGTGCTGTTAGCAAGCACGGTACACGAGGGGGTGGGGGTAAGTGGCCAGCACCAGGTACTCATTTGAGGCTGAGTCGACCTAGGGGAGGCCCAGGATCGGTTCAGATAATCGTCACTGGGTGTTGGCCGTGAGCGGGAATCAACCCTCGGGTAGCCAGGTTCGTAACCGCTACTAACACACACATATATAATCACAAATAGCGCAATTCACAGGGGACGATAATACAGCAAACCCACAACATACAGAGCGGGAGTCACACGAGTCACAGACAACAACAACAAACACAGCAGGGCACAAACACTGAGCAAGTTATAACACCGAGAGAACGCACACAAACTATTGACACAAAGCGAGGGTTACTAGAGCCAGCGACGTGACACAGACGTACACACGCGTTATAGAGACAGAGAATTCAAGGCACTTCAGGCACTCGGATAAAAAAAAGGATAAAAATATATATACAGCCAGACACAGATTGAGTCGCTAGAGTTAAAGACAACAAAAACAAAGGTCCCCCGTATAGCCTTAACAAACTTAGGGGCAAGTGCTGTTAGCCAGCACCACACCCGGCCGCCTTCGTCTCCCCAGTGGCGATGTTTACACACCGCACCAGGTACTAATTTGAGGCCGAGTCGACCTAGGGGAGGCCCAGGACCGGTTCAGATAATCTTCACTGGTTTTGGCCGTGAACGGGAATCGAACTCGGGTCGTCGGGTTCGCAGTGCAGCGTAGCGCTAACCACTGCCGCTCCGCACAGACAGCTAGACACACACACAACACATAGCGATACAACTCACGGACAGGCTCGCACAAATACACAGCCAGAGAGCGAGGGATGCTCACGAGAGACACCAATATAGTACACACACACCACACGGGGAGCGGGTCACTTGAGCCAGAGACAACGCATTGCACGCGCAAAGACAAAGAAGACACGGACACCCCAAGGGCCCGCGCCATTCGAGACGCCGCAGACGCATCGGAGGACGCGCGCGGCCTCAGAGGCGCCCGCCGACACGGAGATAAGAGAAGCGCGAATTGCTTTAACGCGCGGATGCAACGCACGGAGGAGAAACGAACACACAAAACAAGACAACGGAGGGGAAGACAAGAAAGCGCGAATCACCAAGAGGCACCGAGACAACGCAAACACGCAGACGCCCCGCAAAGTCCCACACAGATACATATCGCGCATCATTAAAAGGCCGATACAGAGGCACACGAACGCATAGCAGAGCTACACACACACACGGAGACGAACACAGAGACACAAAGAACGCGCATCGTTAGACAGCGAGTAGTATCGGCCTGGTGGGGAGACCCCCCTCCCCTCCACCCCCTCTCTCAGCTTGCTCCATCGGCCAAGCAACAGCGGTCAAGCCGGGCAGCGAACTCAGGCAAGAGCGGTAAGCGTCGGTGAAGGCCGATATCGGCCTGGTATCCGTGTATCCCTTTACCGAGACGAACCGTACACGTCAACATCCACATCGCCATCGCGACGAGAGCAGAGGGGGGTGACGGATGATTACACATTAATGATAATCTCGGCAAAAACACGACGACTTAAACGCGAGTGGTGGGGGGAGACGATTTAACACCGGGGCTTGCTCACGCCATGAAGGGATCGTCGTCCAGATCTCTGAGACCGAACATCGCCTTCTCTCAGCTCCTCGTGCTGGCTGTGGTTGTTGCGGTGGCGGCTGTAGTGGTGGTGGTGGTTGTTGTTGTTATAGTGGTGGAGGTGTTTGCGTGGAGTTGGTTTGGACGCTGTTTTGCTGGCGACGTCGCCGTCGATTTAACAACGGCTCAGCGACTCCCCCCCCCACACCCGCTCGTGACGTCACCACGTCACGACGTCACCCCTCCCGACCAGGATGACGTCGTGACGTCACTACGTCACGACGTCACTCCCCCCTCCCGACCAGGATGACGTCAAGCGCCAACGTAAATTTGGCGGGAAATTTAAAACGTCGTTTCACCATTGTAAGGTGCGATCCTTACACACTAGCAGCCCCCCCCCCCCGCGGTAAAAAGATGTCGATTCTGTACAGAGACTGATGCTTTAATAAACCGATTATTTCACTTCATAACCGTTCCTATATTTTGCACTCATGTCGTGTTTTTTTTATTGTATCCTGTTGTAACGTTCTGACCTGCCCCTACTGGACGTCTGTGAAAAAGAGCTTGAAAGCTCATCGAATTCCTCCAATATAAAGATTATGTATCATGACGTCATCACGCCCATCGCAACCTCGCGTCTCGTGACGTCAATAAACTCCCTTGTCACAACCTCACCCCCAAATCTGGTGTGACGTCGATACTCCTCTCAATAACCCAGCGTCTGACGTCATCGAATTGTCTTCTCGCAACCTCACCTCCAGCTGGCGTGACGTTGGTACTGCTGCTCTCAACCCAGCCTTTGTCATCAACCCTCCATTGTCACCTAACCACAATCTGGCGTGACGTCATCCAGGTGCGTTGCAGAGACACGCGCACAATCCTATCATGCTGATCTTGATTTGAAGCTTTCGTTACTGCGGGAAATCCATACTCTTTAATTTTTCGGTAAAGTTAGGTAGGTTTTTTCTTGCTGTGGTTGTCCCACCTGATGACGGTTGCTTGTGTTGCGATCGAAACGTGATCTATTATTTTTCTACCTACGTGACTTTACCGAAAGAACCAAAGCGTACGTCTTATGCTGATTCATAAAGGCTGTCTTCGCCAGGCAAAAGTTTTAAATAAATATAATTTACCTGATATGATTTTTTTTCCGATCAGGCGCCAACTACTTTTTAAAAAAATACCGCAAAAAAATAAATATGTTGACGTGATTCAACTTATATTTAAAGACGTAATCCATCGGAAACCGCTCAATGTAAAAATTCCGTTCTATTTTCTATTTAAAAGAACACATTTTTATGAACTTAATACTCTGAGGGGAAGCTCCTATCTTTTACAGTTTTCGAATTACCCAGATTTGAACATCATAGAATGCGCATTTTTTCGTTCAAAACCGATTTAATCAGAAATATCTCAAAAACAATAATTGCCAATTGAATTTTATTTGCTGTTTAACGCTCTATCAAACGAAAAAAACCCGCTATCTTATATTTCGAGCGGTTTCTGAATGACACCACTCACAAACATGTTGATGGGGCACTTCAAATCAAGATTTTGGAGCCTTCAAATAATAAATCTTGGATTTAAAGATGTTTCTGTTTTGCTGTGTCCTAAAAGCTACCCATGTACCAAATGTCAGCTTTCTACCTTGTTGGGAAGTTGTTCCTCGAGAGGTGTTTGAGACAGATTAAGGTCATTATTTATATATAAGCTAGATTCTGAGGTAAATGTGTATGAGCGTTAACTCAGTTGTGCCTTCACATTCCGACTAAAACGTGGTCTGGTCCATCGGTATATTTCCTTTTCAGACTATTTTTTTATTTTACCAAGCAGCATTTAAGCAACCTCATCTAGACCCGGTTTCGACCTTAGAGGGCTGCCACTTTTTCCACTGTAGACCAAACCAGGATTTATTTCTCAGTCATCCTGTCTATCAAAATATTGCAGTTTACAGTGATAAAAGTTCGGTACAAATAAATTCTTACCACCCAAACACAGTAATGTCAATTCCAAGACTGTCCGGGGTCAAACGCATATGGGTGACGCCACATCTCATGTTGACCCGACGTTGGCATGTGGTTAAAACTGTTGGCCCAACGTTCCATGTTTACCGGGTCGAGTATGGAAAAAGAGTTTCAGTGAAGTGAATTTCAGTGACATTCCAACAATTCACTCCACGTTATGCCACAAACCTGAAGCGAGAAAAAAAAACCCACGTCCTTCAATTTTACAAAAATTATATCTCAAGATTGTATCTGGCACAATACCACTCAACAGTCTACCAAAGCCTCAACATAGTTGCAACGTTGACCCAACGTTGACCCAAAGATTCCAACCACATTCCAACATTGGCCCAACGTTGCATGTTTGTGGGGAACACCCGGCCTCACATAGAATCAAAGTGTGGTGGGGTAGATGTAAGAAAACATAAACCAGACGTTAAAACTTTTTTTTATTGCGTGATCATTTTGCATCAATTCAATGCCATTTGTAAATTCTTTTTACAAACTTTAAAAAAATGTAGGTGGTACCCAACAGACAAATTCAGCGTGGGCAATTCTAAAAAGCACACATCAGCAGCCATAATTAGGTCAAAAGGTTAATAGGTCAACTCTTGACCCGTTTGCTTAGACCTGATAGTTATGTAAGTACCGTATTCTCTGGACTACACTGTACACTCCACACTACTTCTCCCCCATATTTTCAAATTTTAAAGTAAACATTGGTGGTGCATCTTACAACCTGGCCGTGTGCAGGCGTGTGTGCGCGCGACCAGATCTGTCTACCTTTATTGAAAGCGGGCACACGTTTTACGAGTCTCTCATTCTCCGGGGAATTCTCACAATCCGGAGAATACGGTAGTTTGCACTCGCCTCACCAACAACGTACAAAACGCGTGAATCACAACTCCCGCGTACAAATATATATGTACAATAAAAACACGAAAAAACATTTCCAAGTGATTCCATTGCGTATAAATAAAGCATTCGGAAAACTACTGGCAACGCCGACGAGAAGTATTTTCATTTGCAAACGTTCATCAGCTCGCGGTTTGTGCTAGGTTCCAGCAAATGGGTTTACCTACCACCACTCTCCTGAATTATAACCTCAAAACGTTTAGCTTCTGCCAAGGCTCAGTGGTTTTAATGTGAGGAGTAATAGTACAGCGGAGGTCGTGCTGTGGTGCGCTCCCGATGGGGCTATTGGGTTTTTATCATGTGTTGTTTGGCACGATGTCCAACGTTTTGCTCCACATGCTTCTCGAAAAAAATGCCAGAACTTTCTTCAGAAACTGATCATCTAGCACGCGGAGCAAAATATCGGATATCAATGCGGACAACACGCGGTACAACCCAACCAACACATCATAGGCTTTAAAGTAGTGTAAAAAAGGATTAGGCTTGTCAAGAACGCATTAAAATCATTAGCACCATACGTAGAGAATAAAAACATTTAAAACTTAAAACACAGGAAGGCAGCAATGAATGGGCAGGTATTTTGCCCTTTTTCGAGTGGAAATGATAAGACTCATACAGAAGGGTGTCAGTTTTGTACGCTCCAATTTTCGAGATTATGAAAACTAAATTTACGACAAATGGCAGCCATCAACTTCAGCTGCGGAGGGACAGTGCGTGTTGGCCGGCGAATTTCTGCGTCGACAGAAAAAGGGCCACTTGCTCGTGCCAATTGTTTTTTTCTACCCAAGACGAATAAGAGCTGGACAAAACCGCTTTCTTCATTTACAGAACAAAGCAATGACCCAATGAGTTCCCCACCCGCATTTCTTCTGCAGGGAAGAACCATGGTCCCGAAATGAATGTAAACCAACTCGCTCCGTTTTTCCTCATTCGGACAATTTTAATGACACGTCTGGCGTCCGATGCCGCTTTTGCTCGCGTGATCATGTGAAGAAGCCATTACATCACCACGTGCCGGAAAAGTTGTTGCCGAGTTCCGATCCACAGTGCCGTGGCATAATCATGCACTTTCCCCTTCTCGTAAAAAAAGATACACCAGTCTCTCGATGTATTTTTGGCACGAGTCGTGAAATTCCCAAGGGCAGGGATTTCCAAACCGTGGGTCATGACCCCAAGAGGGGACAGCAATCACTGCAGCTAAAATTAATGAATAAAAAACCCAAAACATGAGGACAACTCGGAGGGTCGATGCCCCTTCTGAGCGGAGTTCAAATTTAAAAATAGCTTGGGAATCACGAGTCGAGGGAGGTGGTTAAAAAGAGGAGACAAGGACTCCACAATCACCACTCAAAGCTGCAGTGCTCATGGAAAACAAGAGCACAGATAGCACAACGTATGTTTGCCGCGGTTACGCTGCAAAGCTCTCCGATGTGTTTGTGGGTCGCGCCGCACGTCGTTGGGAGCAACGTCCGACGTTTCGCACCACGTACTGGGAGCTCCGTGAAGAAACTTCACCGAGAAACTCCCGAGTACAGCACGTGCAGCGTGACTTACATCAGACATCAGTGACGAACATCCCGCGGTTCAACCCGAAAGCAGATCGGTGATCGCAGATTCATCGCGGCATACGAATACAAGGCAAGGCGTGCGAGCACCACGGTGCACATCATTAAAATTGCTTATTTTTTAATTTACATATCATTATTATTAGATACAAAAACATTTTAGATTGAAACATTTCGTGGAGTGCGTTGGAAGTGGCGAGTAAAAAAGAAATGCTATCTCATAAAATCTCTAACACCACTAGCAGATTCCCGCAATAATGCAGAAAAACAAGATTCTCTGCAGCTCAATGGCGATCGTGCCGTGGAGAATATGCTCGCTGGCAGATACGTGCATGTGCCCAACATTAACGTAGGAAGAATACAAAAATTAAATGAGCTTAGGTTTCGGGGCAATGGGTTTGCAATAATCCATCGATCGGCCTGAAACACTGGAAGACCACGTTCTGGAGTTAAAAGGCAGTGTTTTATCATGACGGTTTTCGTCAAAACTGCCCGTTCACCGTTAATGGACAGGTAAGCGTCACGTGACCAGGGCCATATGCCCCACGCGAAGCAGTTTTTTTTTTACTTTCTTTAACTTTCCAACCTTTTGACATCAGCTTCATTTACAACGACGCGAGGTCAAGTAGCACAGGCGGGAGTAACCACTGCGGCTGAAGAAACGTCCTCGTCGCAAAGAAGGATCCAGACGGTGAACGCTCATGGGTGCGTGCAGCGGGTGTGGCGTGCCGTGCTTATGTGTCACTTCTCAAAGTTCGTCCCGCGCGTTGGGGAAGAGATCACTTTCGCTTTGTTGTTCCGTGAAGAGCATCTTTATGAGGTCGTCGGCCTTGATTCGCTCCTGTGGCGGGGGGAGGGGGATTTAAAAAGACACACAAGCGTAATGTAAGGGGGGCGTGAAAGCCAGCGAAACGCATGAACCATTCCCACACACACCGTTTGAGACTCATGGCAAACAAAACATCCCAGGTTTCATCCTCTTCCATTTTAAGGACTCCCAGACAAGTAAAGTGTTTGGTTGTCTCGAGAGTTACATTGTCAGGATGACTTAGGACTATAGCGGGGCCCCTGTGGACTCTTGAGGGGTGGAGGACGGAGGGAGGGGGCAGGAGAGAGTTCCGTTATTTCCGGGGTCCGTACGCACGTCTGAACTATCGGTCAGCTCGGCTCTTGAGACCGAGGGCTAAGGAAGGCGCCGGGGGTGAAGGGGAATGGACCTCGTTGTTTAAGGAATATTATATAGCCTAGCAATACGATGGATATCGCTTCAGACGGAGGGAGGCAGAGAGGGAGGGAGGAATGGATGGGTAGGGTGGGGCACCTTCTCGCGGAAGATGGGGTTGAGCGTGAACCACAGCGCCATGGCGCAGCGCTGGCCCTTGGTGACGGCGCGAACACCGTGCGGGTTCTCTCCTCCCGACGAAAAGGCCACCATCCTGCCTGCCTGCGGAACCACCTCCGCCTGGGGGGGGGTGGGGACGCAAGGAGGGAGATTTGGTGGTTAGGGGAACATCCGTTAGCGCCGCCATATTCAGTCATCTTCTCGAGCATCTTCATCTCGCAATAATTTTATCCAGCGTCATTAATTTTCCCTCCCACATGCATAATAAAGACTCATTCATGTCTGGAAATATATTTTTTATATACAGAGGACTGCAGAGTCTGGGCATTTGTTAGCGCCAGCTCACTGCCCGGATGCTGCCCATCCCCCTCTCGTTGGTGGTTCTGGCTCGCGCCTCCAGTCATTCTCACAGCTCGGGAGCGAGAGGACACTGAGCGACATCTGCGCGTTGCAAGTAAAAAAGTTACTATTTATCACCCACCCATTAGGCCTGTCAAGACTCATCAACCCTCCCCACCCAACACTCCCCTCCCACGCAGCAGCAACAACAACAGACGTAGCAGGAGCAGCTCCTTACCGTGACTGTGTCGGCATCCAACTCCGTGAAGACAAAATTCCCACCCTCGAAGCCTCCATTCAGGTACAAGATGGCGCTGCAGAGAGGAAACGCGTAAAACTCGTTGTGCAAAATAATATCATATCAAATGCACCGCACGATATACAGACAAAGATCCCCCGTATAGCCTTTACAGACTGTTGGAGCAAGTCCTGTTGGCAACCACCTATGAAAGCCGACATGGCACACGAGGGGGTGGGTGGCCAGCACCACGGCCTGCCACCTTTGTCTCCCGAGTGGCGATGTTTACACACCGCACCAGGCACTTATTTGAGGCTGAGTCGACCTCGAGGAGGCCCAGGACCGATTCAGATAATCATCACTGGTGTTGGTGGCTGTAAGCAGGAATCGAACTCGGGTCGCCGGGTTCGTAGTGCAGCGCGCTAACCGCTACACCACCGCTCCCCCACGGTACTCGCTCTCACACACACACACCCCCTAAGTTCCAGGCAACCCCACAACAGCTTCCCTCTGCGAGTCTCCCCGCGAGTCCCCTGCTATGTCCCCCACGCCACCTGTAGTCTCGGTAGAAGTAGGCCGGAGGTTCCTTTAGGCAGTTTTTGCTCTCGGGGTCCAGAACGCAGTTGTCGGCGTGGATCGGGTGGCTCAGGTCTGAGCGGTTGTCCTGTTGGCCTGGGGGGCACGGCGTGGCGCGTAGATTAAACATCGTCATGATCATCATCATCACCAGCAGCAACAACATAATCGTCGTTGTCTTTGTCATCAGCACCATCATCATTCTCATTTCACCGTCATGAGCGTAGTCATCATCACTGGTGTTGTCATCATCAATTTGATTATCATCATCACCAGCAGTAGCAACATCTTCATCATCACTGTCATATCTACCACCAATCGTCGTCGCGATCGCCACTGCCATCGTCAGAGATGGCATTACTGCATACTCGGAGCGTACTCCTGCGTGTATGTGTGTGTATATATATAAAAACATTCATTGGCTGAAAACATCTCAATATATCTACGCACCTACATGTGCGCGTTTGTACAAAGACCACCCATGTAGCCTTTAACAGACTAACAGCAAGTGCTGTTAGCGAGCACATTAAGGCCGGCACGGCACACAAAGACACACACGCACGCACACGAGCGGGAGGAGAGGGGAGGGGAGGGTACCTGCGATAGCCGTGCGGCACACTAGGTGCGTGTAGGAGAAGTAGAGCGGCACCTCAAGCCGGAAGTAGGACTCGAGGATGCTGCGCACGCGCTCGCTCACATCGTAGAACAGACGCGCCGTCTTCAGTGCGATGCGCCCCTCCTGTCCAAACTGCAACCACGGTGAAAGGTCAGTTCGTTCGCCAGAGAACATTTTTTTTATTATCATGATTGTGATTACGATTTTATACCCAGGAAAGAAAGCCTTGCCGAGTCTCATGACTATTTTCAGGTGGGTCCTGCCAAGTTTTTCATAGTAGGAGGCAATGGTTGCTCTGTGTGTAATCCTTATCGATTAAATTACGGAGTAAGTTTTCAATAAGGCAAATTGTGACTGCGACACGAATACAATGTGATGGTTGATATAAGAAATGCTGTAGGGCTCCGAGTTTCCAAGGTATTTAAGCGCCATGCAAATGCGAATCAATACCCTAAATCTAACGTTGCCTACGTTTGTGCGAGCCGTGTATGTGTCGAACCCGTAATGGGGAGCGGTGGTACTGTGGCTAGCGCACTGCGTTACAAACGCGTCGTCCCCAGATCAATTCCCGCTCACAGCCAACATCGGTGATAATATCTGAACCGGTCCTGCGCCTCCCCCTAGGTCTTAAATGTGTACCTGGAGTGATGTGTAAACATTACCACTGGGGAGACAAAGGTGGCTGAGCGTGGTTCTGGTCACCCACCCCCTCGTATTCATGGGGCACCGCGGTGGCGAGATGTTAACTACCTCGCCTGGTATACAGGAAGTCGTGGGTTTGATTCTGAGCTTGACGCCTTTCTATTTGGAATTTGCATGTTCTCCCAATGGTCGTGTGGATTTTTTTCTGGGTCCTCCGGTTTTTCCATATTTAAAATCAATGTGCTATAAATTTGCACATGATAATAAGCCAATTCGTTGAGCTATCATTTGTGGGCCAGGTTGTTTCTGAAAAAGTGGGCCCTTACCTGGTAAAATAAAAATAGTTAATATTTGATAGATGCTCGCTAACAGCACTTGCCCTATAAGTCTGTTAAGGCTACATGGGGGATCTTTGTCTAACCCGCAGCGCCTTGTAAACGGTGATGCCATCAAACTTCTCGTTGGGCGTGTGAGGAGAGGGCTTGCCGCGGTAACCGTCACCCGAGGCTCCCGCCGTCTGAAGTTTAGGGTCAAGAGTTGGAACCGGGGTTAGGGGGTCAAACATCGCAACACGCTGGCAAAGTTACCATCGCCATCGTCATCATCATCATCATCATCCCAGCCTCGACGAGCGAGTCGTGGAGCTGACAGCAGCCAAAACACGAGAATGGAACCGATACGTTGCATTCTACAAATAAATTCGACTTAACACTCACGAGGCATGCAAAGCATGGCACTCATACGAATCGACTAGTTCCTGCTTTATGCAAATTATCTAATTACATTCGGGGGTAGGGGGGTGTGGGGGCACGGTGCGAGGGGGGGGCGACGACGCACGTTAACGAGCTCCAGCAGCTCGTTACTCTCTTCGGCCGTGATGACACCATCGAGCAGAGCGCGCTGCGATCCGTTGAGAGCGCGCGAGTCCATGGTAAGCACCACGCCCGGGTACAGCAGCGGCCCACCTGTCCGTCAACAACAGCCGCGGCGGCCAATCAGTATTTGGCATTCACGATGGGGCGGGGGGGGGGGACTTTGCGATCCCCGCGGCCAATCGATATCCCCCAGCCAATCAGCAATGCGCACATTATAGGAGATCCTTGGTGGGAACATATCAACTAACAGCCAATCGGCACACCCGTGGAAAACACACCGGAAAAGGGTGTCAACAATCCAATCGGCACGCAGTTTGAGAACAGGCCAATCAATACACATCAGGGCAACAAACGAGCCAATCAGTAGGCGATCGTCCCGCTTTGGAGAAACGACCCAGCCAATCGGTGCTCACAAGCGACGCGGCAAATACAACCTGGTCAATCGGAGGGAGGGATGTGGCGTTGTGGGGAGGTCCGTACCTTCCTTGATGAGCGACTCCAGCTGCGTGTGCTCGCGCGTCTTCTCCTCCACCATCTCCTCGATCTCGCGCATCAGGCTCCCGATCTCCTCCGAGATGCGCGACGTTGCGCTCCGCTCCGTCCTGCATCGCACAGGCACCGTCGTCGCCATCGTTCCCATTCATCACCATCATCATCGACATCGTCACCATCATTACCATCATCATCATCGTCACCATTGTCGAGATCGTCACCATCACTGATTATCACGACCATCGTCACCACCGATATCAACATGAACAACGTCACACAAAGTGGGCCTACTCTTGCAAATGACGTCAGGGATCTTTAATGTCCATTGTGAGGTATTACTGCCACCAGCACCTTCCCCCCATTCCCCCCATTCCCCCCCCCCCCACAGCGTCGCCCACAGTGAACAGTGAACGCGAGGTCAAACGAAAGTGCTGACCTCTGTCGCTGGAGGAGGCTCTGAGGCTTCACAGAGTCAGGGGTCCAGGTGTCCTGGGCAGCAGGAGGTACAGCAGGGGAGACACGAGGGTCTAAGTTAACCCAGCTCATCACTCAAGCAGTCGACCGAGCAGTCAACCGATCAGTTAACCAGTTATTCAGCCGACTTTCAATCATCCCGTCAATCATTCCACCAGTTGATAATCAGTCAACCAATCAGCCAACCAACAATCAATCAATCCATCAACCAGTTAATCAGTCAACCAATCGATCCACCAGTTCATCAGCCAACCAATGAGTAATTGGCACCTGCCGTGTACACATCTCCAGTTGCGCCACCTCGCACGCAATGGTTGAACGGACTCAACACGCACGTTGCGGTAATTCACAGGTGAACTTAGCACGTTCAAAAACTGAAAGAATGGACAAATGCTTCAGAAGATGATCAAAACAGATAAGTGCACATTAAGGGTGTATCGATTGTAGCCCCCCCCACTCCCCCCACCTGCCCCCCCGCTCCCCGACTATCAAGGCCCCGATGCATTTCAAGAAGCTCCCCCCCCACCCTCGCCGTCACAGACGGACGGACAGAGCCGAAGCTTTGTAAATAGGAAGTCGGACGAATGGATGAATTGCCCGTTTGCGAATTTGCGTGCGTGGCATATGTAGTTTTGTTAATTATTTCATTATTATTGTTGTTGTTGTGCTTTTACGATGGTGAATGTCTACGCGGCAGTAACGAGCCACGCCACTCACGGGATCCAGGAAGGTGGTGGCGAAGGCCTCGCTGGCGAAGAACAGCATCTCCTTCTCGAGCAGCGAGCGCTGCACGTAGCTCGCCACTTCCTGCACCACACGACCGTTTTACCGTCAGCACCGTCGGCTGTGGTGGTGGGTGTCATTTCTGTGGTGGTAGAAGTGGTGGTGGTAGTAGTGGTCCTGCTGTTGGTGATTATGCTAGTGCTGGTGGTAGTGCTGGTGATGGTGCAATAGTTCTAGTGCTAGTAGTAGTGCTAGTGGTGGTGGAAGTGCTAGTGGATGTGGTGGTAGTGCTAGTGGTGGTGCTAGTGCTAGTGGTGCTGCTGGTAATACAAGTGCTGGTAGTGCTAGTGGTGCTTCTGGTAATACAAGTGATGATGGTGGTAGTGCAAGTGGTGGTGGTGCTCGTGGTTGTGTGAATGTCGGCGCTCACCTTGCGGGGCTCGATTCCGGCGCTCTCCGCCTCCCCCAGCGTGGCCACGTAGAAGCGCTCGTTCTGCTGCATGATCTCGTCGTCCGGGCGGAACAGCAGGTAGGAGCGCGTGCACGCGATGGCGCTCTCCAGCTCCTCCACTGCCGGCGGCGTCGCACGCGGGACAGGGAGCACGGCGCGCCGGTGAGCGGCGCAAGCACGACGGCGCAGGGCGAGGTGGGGGTCGGGGGGCAGTGATTTATGCTGGTGATAGTCGCGGTGATGCTGGTGATAGTCGCGGTGATGCTGGTGATAGTCGCGGTGATGCTGGTGATAGTCGTGATGATGCTGGTGATAGTCGTGGTGATGCTGGTCATAGTCGTGGTGATGCTGGTGATATTCGTGGTGATGCTGGTGATAGTGCCGGTGATGATGGTGATAGTCGTGATGATGCTGGTGATAGTCGTGGTGATGCTGGTCATAGTCGTAGTGATGCTGGTCATAGTCGTGGTGATGCTGGTGATAGTCCCAGTGATGATGATGATAGTCTTGGTGATGCTGGTGATAGTCTTGGTGATGCTGGTGATAGTCGTAGTGTTGCTGGTGATAGTCGTGGTGATGCTGGTGATAGTCGTGGTGATGCTGGTGATAGTCATGGTGATGCTGGTGATAGTCGTGGTGATGCTGGTCATAGTCGTGGTGATGCTGGTGATAGTCGTGGTGATGCTGGTCATAGTCGTGGTGATGCTGGTGATAGTCGTGGTGATGCTGGTGATAGTCGTGGTGATGCTGGTGATAGTCGTGGTGATGCTGGTCATAGTCGTGGTGATGCTGATTATAGTGCCGGTGATGATGGTGATAGTCGTGGTGATGCTGGTGATAGTCGTGGTGATGCTGGTGATAGTCGTGGTGATGCTGGTGATAGTCGTGGTGATGCTGGTGATAGTCGTGGTGATGCTGGTGATAGTCGTGGTGATGCTGGTCATAGTCGTGGTGATGCTGGTCATAGTCGTGGTGATGCTGGTGATAGTCGTGGTGATGCTGGTCATAGTCGTGGTGATGCTGGTGATAGTCGTGGTGATGCTGGTGATAGTCGTGGTGATGCTGGTGATAGTCGTGGTGATGCTGGTCATAGTCGTGGTGATGCTGGTGATAGTCGTGGTGATGCTGGTGATAGTCGTGGTGATGCTGGTGATAGTCGTGGTGATGCTGGTGATAGTCGTGGTGATGCTGGTCATAGCGGTGGTCTTGTCTAACAGCGGTAGTGGTGGTGCTATTGATAGCGCTCGTCATGAAGCTGGTTGTGCTGGAGGTGCTGGCAGCGCAGCAGCAGCAGCGGCGGAGGCGGTGGTGGTATTCATGGCATTGGTGCTGCTGTTGGTGCCGCTAGTGGCGGTGCTCGGGGGGGGGTGACGACAATGGACGCGGGCCACGTTCACAACAGCTGCCAAGCCATGGGCATCGACAGGGACCTGCACCGGGAGCGCCCGGCTCGCAAACTCACTCTTGTAGTACGCGAACTGCAGGTAGTTGTAATGCGCCGGCAGGAAGTCCTCGATGGGCGCCGTGCGCCCGGGACGGGTGGACAACTCTCGGGCGCAGTTATGCCGGCAATTCAGCACCTGCACGTAGTGGTCTGCGAAGGGAGGAGGGCAGCAACGTGGGGCTCAAGTCAGCCGCGGCATTCCGTGTTCTCGGGTAAAAGGACGGGCGGCGGCGGCACGTGGCCCGCGATCCGGCATTGTGGAGGAAGCAGGCGAGGGAGGGTTGGCGGATCGTCGCACAGACGTTGTTGAGAAACTCCCGTCCCCCGTGGGCGTCGAGGAGGAGCCCGCTAGCCCCGGCTCTGCCAGGTGAAGGCGGAACGGCAAAAATGTGGACTCCACCTGTTTCCGTCTGGGTTTACACCGGGCACTCTGGTTTCCGCCCACATGTAAAGACAAATTGGTGGCTGCCCATCCAAGCACTATCCAGTCTCAAGGCCCGCTGCCTAGCTTCCGAGATCGCACGGGATGGTGCGGACTGGGAGAGACTTGGGTCACAGCTTGCAAAGAGGATTGTAGCCGAAATTTTACATTTCACCGTTTACCTGCACGCTAATCACTGTATTGAGTGGTGGAGGCCCTCTAATCCAGCAGTGGATTGACCACGGGCTGCACACGTACGAATCTTTTCACAGTCAACTCGCTCAAATAATATTTTGCACTTTTGCTTTCTATTTTCCACGGCTTCCCGCTTCCATCGAGGTCCATCACGTTTACTGAGATTTCGCATTCGAGTTATCGATCGTTTTCCCCACCCCTCCCCCACCCCCACATTCAACTCGCGCGGCCTGCTCCCAACGCTCACCGGCCATGGCCTGGTAGAGGTCCGAGTTGTAGTCCAGGTAGGCGTAGCCGTCGAAGTCGAAGGGGCCCTCGCACTGCGCGCGGCACTCCGAGTCCGCGGCGAAATACTCGTCCACCGCCAGCTCCATGTACTCCACGGCGAGCGGGAACTCCTCCGCTGCGTAGCGCTCCACGCCCTGCTGGAACGCGTCCTGTGTCCCGCGCACGCCGTCATGCGCACGCGCACGCATACGCCTTGCTGGAAAGTGTCCTGCCTTCCGAAAGACATGTACTCGTGCGTGTCCGTGTCTGCGCGGCTGTGTCTGCGCATGCGCGCGATTCCCCTCCTGTATCCGCATGTTCCCCCCTCCCGCGTCCCCGCATGTCCCTCTCCCGCGTGTCCCGCGTGTCCTTCTCCCGCGTGTCCTTCCCCCGCCTGTCCTCCTCCCGCCTGTCCTCCTCCCGCCTGTCCTCCTCCCGCGTGTCCTTCTCCCACGTGTCCCCGCGTGTCCCCCTCCCATGTCCTCTGCTTCCCGCGTGTCCCTACTCACGAGATGCGGCCGCGCCTCGCGGTCGACGAAGTGCTGCGCCTCCACATTGTACACCTGGCGGTAGTACTCCAGGTTCTGCCTCATCTCCGTGTGCTCAGGGTTCCACACCGAGAACGTGTGCGCTGCTGCCGCCGCCGCCGCCAGGTTGTCCATCTGGGCCGGTACACGGGGGGATCACGACGTGCGGCATGGGGAGACGGGGATCAGAGCGTGAGAAACGGGGATCAGGCCGTGGGACGTGGGGACATGGGGATCAGTGCGTGGGACGCGTGGATCAGAGCGTGAGAAACGGGGATCGTCAGGCCGTGGGACATGGGGACATGGGGACATGGGGATCAGTGCGTGGGTCGCGGGGATCAGAGCGTGAGAAACGGGGATCAGGGCGTGGGACATGGGGACATGGGGATTAGGACGTGGGACATGGGGATGAGGCTATGGGACACGGGGACTTGGGGATCAGTGCGTGGGACGCGGGGATCAGGACGTAAGCCACGGGGATCAGGACGTGGGATTTAAGACATTAAATAATGTAAGTGGACAAATGACGGGACACTGGAGACAATGGAGACACGGGACTCTGGGAGACAGCAAGTGGGACACGAGACACAGGATACCTGGAGACATGGGACGAAGGACGTACGCTGTAATTCCAAAAAATGCAACACACCGCTACAAAGTGTTCCGAATTCCACGGCAAGAACTCTTCCTCATAAGTAAAACAACAGATTATGTTAAAACCGGAGAAGATATGACTTTTAAAGTGTTCGGTAACAACTCGTTTCAGCCACGAAAAAACACGGAGCCGCCGTATTTTGGCACAACGATTAGAAAAATATTATTTTCCAACCGTAAATTATCCTATGTCAAAGCTCTTTTATTATTGTTATTACTACAAGCAATGCGGGGGAGATGAGGAATCGCTGAACAGCGCATGTGCCGTTTTTGCACCACAGTTGTGGAACAGATTACCCGGAAATAGTGTTCATGTGCCCATAGACCATCGGTTTGAGAAAGAATTAAAGACACATTTGCGTGCGTCTTGCGTATGAACGACCGAGCTTGTTTGTTCCCATTTGTCCGTGTGTATTGTCTAACACCGTGCTGCTTGCGAGGATTGTCAAAGGTCTGCAATCACTTTACGGAGAAATTATCTCAAATACCAATACCCGCCATTCGCCACCAAGTGACGACGTCACGACGGCGCCCGTGCCAGGCCAAGTGCACTTTATCTGAAATACCCCCCCCACCCACACCCCCCCCCACCCACACCCCCCCCCACCCACACCCCCCCCCCACCCACACCCCCCCCCACCCCCCCCCCCACCCACACCCCGCAGAACGCTCTTTAAAAAAAGGGGGACTGCGCCGCATTGTTTATTTGTCTCTCCGTCTCTCATTCTGCTCCAGGAAACGCTGCACAAGCGTTTCAAGCTGGCATCCCCTGGGCTGTTGCTCTCGGTACACAGACGGACAGACGGGACGGGAGAGATGAGCAAGACAGGGCAAAGGATGAACAGACAGACAGACGGATAGTCAGACAGGGAAGGAGAGTGGGAGGGAAGGCAACCGGCCAATTTTGGTTGATGCAAGCGGTGCAAAATCTTTTCTGGAATCCTTCAAGCGCCCGTCCCACGCCACGACTACGTGCTCGCTCTCGCGTTCTGCTCGCCCTTGCACGATCGCACGCACGATCGCACGCACGATCGCACGCACGCACGCGCGCACACACACACACACATATGCCCCACTTCACTGGCTGCCCCTGGGGCGTCAGCGGGAGAGTTCGGGGCAAAAGTGAAACGCGGGTGCGGGGTAGAACGGGGAAAAGTTTCCACCGATGCTTAAATCGCGGGGGGGGGGGGGGAGGGCGTGTGGGGGGGTGGAAGGGTGGGGGCACCCAGGGGACGGGGACATTACGTCGACGTAGGAAAACGCTCCGTCGGTCGGGATATTTGAGATTCTTTTTACCGAGACCGACTCGGGCGTTGGGTTACGTCCGGAGGGGAGGGAGGGGAGCCCTCGCACGGCCCGCGACCTCGTTTGGCGCGACACGCGGCCTGCAAACGATAAATATTTATCGGCTCTACGGTGGCTTCTTGGGGTGCTGTGATTTAGTTCTCCCACGTGGGGGGTTTCGCGGCCGTGCTGTGTAGTATAGCTCTGAGCTGTCTTCGTCAGATCGTGCCCGCGCGTCGTTCCGACACGATGTCCGACGTTTCGCTCCGCGTGCCGCCGCCAGGAGCTCTCTTCAGGAGGAACCGAATCCCAGTCCCTTGAACGTGCGGTACCGCCCGAAAACACATCGCGGCCACAACCGCGACAACCTACGTGGCGGTAATGTTCATCAGTCGCTGCAAGAGCATCTCAGCCGCACTCATCGGGAACTAGAGGGGGAGAATATTTTTGATCTGGCAACAATTAACAGTGTTTGGTCACAACGATCAATCGTATTTTGTCTCATTGTCCAGATTTCTCCATTTTTATGTTTTACGAGTGTTTTAATGTGATAGCGTTCCCGAGTGGCAGATTTGTGCCAGACAGATGGCGGCATGTGTTCAACAAAAAATAAAATTGACTCGACTTCGATCGCTGGAAGGGCCTCTCTCTCTGCAGTGACGGAAGAGAACGAGGTGCACGTGGTCGTCCGCCACAGGTATCTGAATGTACGATTTGTCCCTCGCCAAGGAGAAGATTCCCCGCCCGCGGGTTACATGGCAGACAATTCTGCAGCGTGCAGGTCAAGAGGTCGCGTGCAGGTCAAGAGGTCGCGTGCAGGTCAAGAGGTCATCACGGCCAAATGGCATGGTTGCGAGATGATGTCACATGTTAACGATGTCATTGGGGTGTGCGTGCACGGCATCCGATGTCGCCGCCGCGGGACAAGGGCTTGCCATTTTAACGGTGGGAGTGTTTTTTTTTTAAATCGTTAAGTTTCGGTTGTTGTCTTACAGGGCAAGTCCCTACTCGCAACACGACTGAATGGTAAAATGTAATTCGTGCCATACGCCTCATCTTTGACGAGCTTTAGTGACAAATCGAGACTCGCTGTGCACACGAGACAGACGTTACAGATGAGCCAGGCAGTGCAAGGGACAGTCTAAATTAAACACCCCCTTTACAGACAGGCAGACAGACAGGCAGGCAGATGGAAAGAGCCGATGCAGAGAGCCGTTTAACGTCCCTGAGTATTGGGACTCGGCGAGAATTTTCTGGGATTTTAAACAAAAAAAAAACGGTCAGGCCTGCCTGAGAAGATGTGGTTTTGTTAAGGCTGGGCTACTGCCCCGACCACCATCCCCACCCCCCGCGAAAATCTGCTCATAGTCAGCGTCTGCACCTATGTCATCCGTCTGGCATTTTCGCTTTGTAGATTTGTAAGGTCATATTTTCCACTGACTTAATAACGTCATGCGCCCGCCCGCACGCGCGCACGCACGTACGCACCGTTACTTTTTTTTTCCCCAACGCTACTTTTAAAGCCGAGCCAACGCTCAATTGTCCACGGTCATGGTCTTCGCCATCTTCATCATCGTGTGGCCGACGTCGACGAAGAGCAATGGCCGTGATTCTACATCGAGGTGGTTAACGATACAGATAAGCACACCAGTAGTGTGCGAGGTGGTGCGTCACGGCTGTGATGATGCCTCCTCCTCCCTCCTTGGTATTTGTGAAATCGGGCCATTGAGTCGTCATGTCATTTTCTCGTGGCTGTCTCCGCACGCTGGCTGGAGAGTTTTTTTTATTTTCTATTTGTGAATTATTGTCATCATGAAGTGACCACATCTGCTCCTGCTGCTGGTGCTGGCCCATGGTTTGTGCAGTGGATGCGGTTCAGGGGTTGTGGCCCATGATCTCCTCGGGAGATTGAGGCCCGGGAATCTCGTGTGACGCGTAGTCTTTCACGCAGGAGGAGTTTATTTTTGACCTTGGGGGAACGCGGTGGGGAAATGGCAAAGCCCACATCAAAACAAACACAGGGAATACAAAGCAGATGTAAATTGGGTGGTGGAGGGGGTGGGGAGATCGTCAGCCACTGCTGGATGAAGACTGCCACCAAAATCGCCGTTGACTTGCCAACGAGTCTGCGGTCCAGCGGGCAGTGAGTCGCTGGCCCCCCGATGAGTAAGGAGCAGCGGATAAGAGAGCCTGCTTGCGTCTTTGACGCACAGGCAAGACAGACACTCTCTCCTCGCACTGGGCCCATACCTGCGGCTAGCCGGCCAATCGGCCGGCCGAGCGAGCAAGCGGCCGGAACACAAAAGGAGCCGGTGTTACCGGCGGGTAACCGCACCGTGCCGGCCCAGGGCGCACGCCAGCACGCCCCTACCGATGACAACCCGTGGTCGACTCTTACACTGCTGGGGTGGGGGGGGGGAATTTTAATCCTGAAATTCAATCCCGAGACGGAACAGACGCGTACTGTGTGTACACACACACACACAATGAAAGTAACTATCCAACGCTCGTCCCAAATGTATTAAATTAAAATTATAATAAAGGGATTTGAACTCGCGACCTTTCCGTGCGAAGGTCGAGCGGTCCCGCTTTCTACCGGCTACATCGTCGCACTCCACCATCGTCATCGCCAGCCATAATTCCACTGCTGGATGAAGGCCTCCCCACCAAACCTCTCGCAGTCCTGCGGGATTACAATTCACCCAGCACCTGCTGAGCGATTCTCGACCATCGTCAAACTGCGCCAATGGGGGGGGGGGGGGTGGGGGTGGGGGCACATTACTCGGTCCACTGACAATGGGTCAAGTGTACTAGTGTAAGTAAGTGTTTACGTGCAAAAAATAATTCTGATAATGACCAGATTTGGCTACATTCAGGCCAAAAATCTACTTTCCAACCCTCCTTCTTGAAAACCATTGGAACTTCGAGCATCGGTTCGCTCGCTCTCGCGCTCGCTCGCTGTCGGTTCGGCGCGTTCACCGCGCGAACAGAGAGGGGGGCAATTTTTTTTTTAAACAAAACCTCAACGGCTCGCATCCACGCAGAAATAAGCCAGCCGTGGATTTGAACACGAGCGATCCCACAACCAAGAGCTACACAGCGAATGAATATGGGCGCCGTCAAACAAACACAAAGATCCCCCCCCCCCACCCATATTACCGTTAACAAGACTGTTGGGGCGAGCGCCTACGATGAAGGCCGTTACGACACACAAAGGGGTGGGTGGACAGCACCACTCCCGACCCCCTTTGTCTCCCGAGTGGCGATGTTCAAACATCGCGGCAGGTACTCATTTGAGGCTGAATCGACCTAGGGGAGTCCCAGGACTGGTTCAGATAATAGTCACCGGCGTTGTTGGCCGTGGGTGGAAATTGAACTCAGGTAGCCGGGTTTGCAGCACAGGGTGCTAACCGCGACACGACTGCTCCCCACACACACCACAGACATCATGAGCAGCAGCAGCAGCGACATCACGAGCCATGGTCAATCCACTGCTGGACGTGACCCCCTGCAGTCAATGCAGGTGCTGCCACGCACATGAGAGAGGGTGGCGGTAGCGATGCTGCGAACATTCTAGGCTCTGTGTGCGCCGCGCGGGGCGAGCGAATGAATGGACATTCCACCGCGCGCCTGCCCTGCCGGGAATGCGCGGCAGACGATGGACGTTGCTTAATCTGAAACACAGCCAGGTTAGAGGAGACCCCAGGGCACGGCGGGGGGGGGGGGGGTTCACGATGTGGAGGGGAGGGACGGATCGGGTTAGGGAAGGGCAAGTGGGTGAGCGAGCGGGCGATCGAATGAGTGCTGTGGGGGTGAGCTAGGGTTAGGGGTTTACATCAACTCTGTCCCCTAACCCTTTATGGTATGGCAGCCGACCCAATCAAGACCTCTGGTCCTAACCCCATCCTACGACTAACCCAGGTTATGAAGGCCACAGCACACAGTGCGCGGGAGAGCGATCACATGTCCACAACTCTAGTCCACGCGGTGTTGGTAAAGCGATAGTCTCACGATGACCATAAGTGTATGTTGTCTTCGCGGTGCAACACCGACGTTTCCCCGTGCACATTCTAAATTTATCCTGCACGGTATCCACGCCGACAGCCTGCGCTCCCCCCTAAAAGACTTTCGGGGGGGGTGACGGGTTGGGTTGAGCGGTGGGTTGGTCGCTGCAACTAAAATCTAAACAAGAGCCGTCAACTGTCAAGTAAATATTTAAGAAGCCTTCGGAGACACTCGCCAGTGGAGAGGGGTGGGGAGGGCCTCGCGGCACGGCCTCGAGAGAGATGGAACACACAACTCATCGTCGGCAACATCATCATCGCCATCATCAGCCTTGGTCTATCCGCTGCTAGAGAAAGGCCTCCGCAAGCTATCGCCATCTCCCCTCACAGTCTTGCGATGGCATGATCCATCACGGTTACTGAACACGGGTGCAAGGGCCCAAAAACGCTAGGCAGCCAATGGCAAACGGCACGACCGCACACTTTTGTAGTTGAGAATGACGATGGGAACGACGGGAACCTGCCATGCCGTGGGTGGTGAAGGGCCCGGTGGCGGCACAAATCTACGGAACAGCGTCGTGCAACAAGGAACGCTATGCTATCGTTCCGGGTTTTTCAGCTTTTAAACTTGAGCCGTTGCTCCCACGTTTTTAACACTTTCCAAGCGAGGCGGAAAGCGTTTACACACGAGCTCTGTCCGTCTGCCCTATCCATAACTTGCTGGCCTGCCCATACTGGACAACTGTGAAAAACAGCTTCATAGGGCATTGTATTCCTCCTGCAGTATAATTAAAGATTCTGATAATGTAGGAGGCCTGATGGACTCTCATAGAGATCATGCACTATGCATGACACCTTAGTATACACGAGTGTTGCTATTAGGAACTAACCCGATTGTAAAGTCAGACAAACTGGCCAGGGCTTTGCCCAAAACTTGGGAGACAAACAAAACCAGAGCCAAGAGGGCTGTGTGCAAATATGCAAAGGCGTTTCGCCCTGACAGCTCCCCGTCAAGTTTCCGGACTTGCTAATTAAATGGAACAAATAGCAAACCACAGTAAACCCACTGTGGTCTGTGCTCCTTCAACGAAGGAGGAACAACAAACAGCAAAACGACGCAAACTCTCTCTCTGCTGAAGCCACCTAGTCGTGACCAGCAGCAGACGTCGGCATTTTACATTTTGCTCATTAATGCATTTCTGCAATCTTACGCAAGAATAGACAATTGCATTTCGAAGACAAGCGCGTGTTTCAAAGCATCGTATAAGTCCACGCATATGCATGTAATATCCTAATCTTTATCGACGACATCCAATTGGAGTGGGGCAGCGTTCAATTCCCAGCCATGGCTGACATACGCGCGGCTCGAATGTGACATTGAATTAGATGGACAGGAATCTGGGTCTCCAAGGGATTTTGGAATTCTCCCCAATTCCCAATTTTTTGTTCCTGGGTCTCCAAGGAATTTTGAAATTCTCCCAAATTCCCTGAGGAGGTGAAATTCCAGATGGGATGGCAGAGGCAGGAAAGAGATAGCGAGAGACACTACAGATTGAATTGTGATGGGTGGGTTCATGGATAGGTGGATTGGTGGGTGGTTTGATGGGTTTGTGAGTGGGTGGGACAGACTAAGGGGTGGCACCTTGTAGTGCCAAGATAAGCAATGCGAGATCACAAAGGGCAGTGGTTTCTAACCATCCTGGAGACAAACGGACAACTGTCAATCCCCGACAGTTTTTCGCAGGTCGGATTTGCCATGGTTTCCCTGGGCCGCTTCCCATGGCGTTGCGGAGCACCGGCCGTCCATGGACCACCGGTTGGGAGTCACCAATATAGAAGAGATCGTGATTGATCGGGTCGGGTAGGGTTGGGTTGGCTGGACTAGGGGAGGGTAGGGCAGGTCAGGGGATGGCACCTTGAAGTAGAAAAGAGATGGGGAGAGAAATCCCACAGTGGGCCTCAGTGATGGGTTGGTTCAAGTCAGGGTTATTTGTTTAACCAGCTGAGAATTTAAGAAGAGACCAGGATAGAGGATTTGATCTGGCCCATCAAAATGCAGCAATTAAGCAAACAGTAATGGAACAGTTGGGTGGTTGAATGGATGGGTGGTTGGTTGGGCGGGTGATTGTGTGGGTGGGTAGTTGTTTGGGTGCTTGGTTGGGTGGATGGTTGGGTGCTTGGTTGGGTGGATGGTTGGATGCATGGTTGGGTGCATGGTTGGGTGCATGGTTGGGTGCATGGTTGGGTGCGTGGATGGGTGGGTGCGTGGATGGTTGGGTGCATGGATGGTTGGGTGGATGGTTGGTTGCTTGATTGGGTGGTTGTTTGGGTAGGCAGGGGGGGCGCACGCACCTTGAAGTATGCGAGCTGCAGGTAGTTGTAGGGGCTGCGCTTGCGGAACTCCAGCTGCGTCTCCTCGGAGACAAGGTGCAGCGACGCGGGGCCCAGCGCCTGCTCGAGGCACGAGTGCAGGCAGTGCGCGCGTCGCACCACGGCCTCCAGCAGCCGCAGGTCCCACATCCTCCACTCCCCGCGGTCCCCCTCAGCCTGCACGGCTACGCAAGGGGGAAGGCGCACGTGGGCAGTGGCATCGCTAAGCAAAATAGGTTCGAGCAAGCATGACTGCTGACGAGACACCGAATGTCAAAACCGGTCTGCCGTTTGCCGTGTGCTGAACCAATGCCGCTGAAATCATGCACTCCCAGAAGGCCGTGTGGCTGATGGGATTGATAGAAACATATATATCAGTTCAAGTTCTGATAATAACACAAAAAGCTCATCACTCTAATAAAACTATTAAAATAATGTCAATTATAATTAAGTCTTATAACGTAATTATTTCACACAGCTGTGATACAATAACGTTTGGACACTTCTTCTGCGTGCAACGTTTGAGGTCACGTGGTGGGGGTTTCCCGGGCACTCTGGTTTCACCCCATATGCCAAACGCTCATATAACAGCAAGAGAATCAGCCAAATATGCCAATACCGGATCTTCCGGAGACTCAAAATGGGTAAATAAATGGCACTGTGTGATCACAGGCACACACCAAGTCTGATGTTGTGGGTGTGTGACTGTGTCCGTCTCTCTAAAATTGAAAAACGCTTCAATAAACACAAAACACTCCCGGTTGTTAGAGATAAATTGGCCAAACATACTACACAGATCTCCGATTAGCACGGTTGGCTACGTACGGTGCGAAAAGAAATTCAACATACGTACATAGATCCCGTTCTGAAAATCCCCGAGACCAAGCGAGTCTCTCCCACTTCCGCCCCAGTTGCCCGTCGATCCCACAGCAAACACACAACGCCCCACTGTCTCGTTTTCTTAATGGCCCACACATTTCTCCACACAGCACCCGCTGCCAGGGTGGTGGCGGTGGGCGGCGGAGAGTCAAGGGTGCCACGGTGGCGAGATGTCAACTCCCTCGCTTGGTACGCAAAGGTCGTGGGGGTTCGACTACACACCCCAACGCCTGTATATTTGGAGTTTGCACGTGTCTCTCTCCACCTGGTCACGTGGGTTTTTCTCTGGGTCCTCGGGTTTTTTCCCTCCGCATTTAGAATCAATATCACACGTAAATGTACTACACTTCATCGTCAAAATAAATCATTATCAACATGTTTCCCTTCACACAAATACACTTTTATCAACCTAAAACATTCTAAAGCAACTCATTATGCATACAAATTTTAAAGGAGCGCCCCACGGTTTTATTTTTTTAGTGACAAATGTCCAAAAATATTCTGATCAGCTGGTGATGGCTGAAATTTTTTTATTTTTAACTTTGAGTGGACTTTAAAATAAAACCGTTGTTTTTTTTACTTTTTTTTAAGGAGTTTATTTCACTCTACACCCGAGCCACGCCCACCACGAGCCAGACCGGCACGGCTCAGGAAATAACCACTTTGGTTTTTTTCCATTGCAGAACCAGAGCCGTGGTGGATGACATCATACACAAGGAACGTGTTTGTTGTTATTATTACTGCTACGTTTGTTAAATCCAGGAACGCCTCACCGAGTCACAAGACAATTTTACAGGAGGGTCCTGTCAGGATTTCGCAGTCGAGGGCGCTGTTGCTGTATAGCTCTTTTTCCAGGTCGCTTCTGTAAAAGGAGCTATACAGCTCAGTGGGCCTCTACCTGGTAAAATAAAAAATAAAATTGATAGCTCATCGAAGTGACGTATAATGTGGAAATGTATACCAGCCAAATAATCGAAACACATGTTTCTAAACGTGGAGAGAAAAAAAACCTCGAGGACCTGTAGAAAAGAAATCCACGCGATACCAGGGAGAACTCCAAATACACGGACATGAAGGATCGGGATCGAACCCACGACCTCCTGCATACCAGGCGAGGAAGTTAACATCTCCTCGCCACCGCAGCACGCCGCTCCATAGCGGCAGGGCCTCCACTAGGACGAGCTCCGGAGAGCCCGTCTGCTGGAAAAGGGTTTCTCAGGCCTATACTTCCATACTGGGACGACAGCTTGGGGGGCCCGTCCATAAATGACGTCACGCGATTTTGGACGATTTTTGACCACACCCCCCCCCCTTCCTCGTCACACGGCGTCACAAAAAGTCAGACCCCCCCCACCTCAAATATGACGTCACAATGCTCTGCCCCCACCCCCCCCCCAAAACCATATTTCCATTTTGAAAATAAAACATGCTTCAAATCTCTTTAAACTATTGTCATTGTAGTTCGTATTTAATGTGGCGCTGCACTCTGATGTTGTAGGAGTGTTGTTATAACAATTCTATATTTAAATTTTGATTTAAAGCTTTCGTGACTGCAGGGATTCATATTCTTGGTTCTTTCGGTAAAGTCACGTACAAGGGAAACAATACAATTATAAAAATATAAAACAATAAAATTCTCACGACGTTTCGACTGCAACACAAGCAATCATCATCAGGTGTGAAAACCACAACAAGAAAAATTGGAAAAAAGTCGCGGTTTTTTAAAGTATTATTTTATTGTTTCCCTTCTACGTGACTTTACCGAAAGAACCAAGAATATAACTCTATATTTATTTAAAGTTGCGTATTTTGATGTGACGTCACATTTCCCAAACCCCCCCTCGTCACAAAAATCTGACCCCCCCCCCAGGTGCGTGACGTCATTTATGGACGGCCCCTTGGAAGACGAGACGGGGGAGTACCCACACTTTAGCCCACCCAACCCATCACAACTGCTGGGTGGACAGAGGCTGCATTAGGAGATTTAAAAAAAACTCCCCACCGCTGCTGTGTGGCGATGGCAGATGTATTAAAATGGTGCAAGAGAAAATGTTGGCGTGGTGGGGTTTCATGAACACAGGAACCACACACACACAGTGATGACATTCCTGAGAGAGAATGTGGCTGAGTTAGTCGCGGTGGTAGTGGTGGCGGTAGTTGTGGTGGTAGTGGTGGCGGTAGTTGTGGTGGTGGTGGCGGTAGTTGTGGTGGTGGTGGCGGTAGTTGTGGTGGCGGTAGTTGTGGTGGTAGTGGTGGCGGTAGTTGTGGTGGTAGTGGTGGCGGTAGTTGTGGTGGTAGTGGTGGCGGTAGTTGTGGTGGTAGTGGTGGCGGTAGTTGTGGTGGTAGTGGTGGCGGTAGTTGTGGTGGTGGCGGTAGTTGTGGTGGTAGTGGTGGCGGTAGTTGTGGTGGTAGTGGTGGCGGTGGTGGTGGTGGCGGTAGTTGCGGTGGTGGTGGTGGCGGTAGTTGTGGTAGTGGTGGCGGTGGTGGTGGTGTCGGTGGTAGTAGTTCTGGCCGAGTGCCTCACGGGGAGGGAGGTTTCACGGTGGTCGTGTTCGAAGACAAGGAACCGATCGATATTCTGGGGGTTTCGGAAACCTGTGATTTATTCGATTCCTACAATCGCGTAATTTGGTTTCTTACGATCGTGACAAAAACGGTTGATTGCGATTGCTCATTGTGTTGTCGTGATTGCCATAGATTTCTATGTTATACTGTTAATTGCACGCTAACGCAAAATAAATTATGTATTTTTAACATGCCTTCATATGCTACAAATATGCACACGTGTTCGCACTGTATGCACGTACAATACTGTACGCACACGTGTACACCCTCTGCATACTGCACGCGCAAACTGTACACGCACTGTATGCAGGCGCACTGTGTGCGACTGTACTTTGCGCGTACAGTATGCACGTCAGCATACTGCACGAGCATACTGTACACCCTGCGCGCGTACAGTATATACTGTACTGTGCACACTACACTCTGCACGTGCGCACTGTTACAAGCACACGACAAAGATCCCCCGTGTAGCCTGAACAGACTGTCGGGGCAAGTGCTGTTAGCGAGCAGCTTGTAGCAGGCCAACACCACGCCCGGCCGCCTTTGTCTCCCCCAGTGGCGACGTTTATACTACACACCGCACCAGGTATTCATTTGTGGCCGAGTCGACCCAGGGGAGGCCCAGCACCGGTTCAGGTGATCTATCACTGGTGTTGGTGGCCGTGAGCTGGAATCGAACTTTGGGATCGCCGAGTTCGTAGCGCTCCCCACACCAACACAGTACACACACCACAACAACAAACAACAACGGTATATGTGTACTGTGTGCACTTAGTACAGGACTGCTGTTGAGGGCGACCTTAGGGCGACTTGGCAGAGTTGACACAACAGAAAGTCGTCATCGTCGCCCGCCAAAGTTTCACTCGAATGTTCGCCTCGCTCCGGGAACAACAAGTTGGCTCTCACCATCACCACCACCACCGCCACTTCCACAATCACCATCACCGTCATTACCACAATTGCCACGAAGGATTATCCACATCACCGTTATCATCACCGCTGCCATCATCACTTCGCCATGACCACCATCATCAGTCAACATCACTAACGTCGCAATTGCGATATCACCACCACCCTCACTCATATTACCGTTATAATCACCACTAACCACCAATATCACTATCGCGCCATCGTTATCATTCACAACTGTTATCGCCATGGCCATCTTCACCACAAATTGGTGTCACCACGGCCACCATCAATACTATGACCACCATAGTCACTATCACCATTCTACCATTAACATCACCAAAACTGTCACCACCATCGATATCTTCACCGCAATCATCACCGGGGATTGCCACTACCATCATCATCAACACCGCTGTCAACATCACCATCGCCAAAAGCAGCAGTATCATGATCCAACACCGCTATCACCACCGCCAATCAATCACCTGGTGTCGCCACCACCACATAACAACAACAAAACCTCAGCTGGTCGCGCTTGTAGCAGCGACAACAACAAAGCTGTACCATGGAAGGCGCTGTGGTTGGTGCAGCGCTGCCCGCAGACGACAGTGAGGCGGCGCCGCTCGGCGTGGTTGCGCAGCGCCTGCTCCATGGTGGACACCACGGCCCGCCAATCGCCCCTGTGGTACGCCTCCACACCGCTGTCGAACAGCAGGTCGTAGGGCTGCAGGGTGGACGCTCTGGTGTCCTCCGTCGACGCAACTTCCACGGTGGAGACCGGCGCCAGCGTCACCACCACCATCACCACCACCACCATCATCACCATCGTTGTCGTCGTCGTGAAAAGCAGCAGGGGCGAGCGCCGAGCGCTTGCGCCGTCCGTCCGGGTCATGGTCTGGGCTTGGCTGGCCCGAGTCACTCGAGCGTGCGAGACGGTGAGACGAGCCGGGAGGACGAGGTGGCTGACCCCAAGGCCGCTTCTTAGCTCCGGCTTCTCGTTTCTGGACTGCCCGCCTCGGAATCCCGTTGCTTAAAAATTAGCCGGGTGGCTGAGCGGTATTGGCTGGGTTGGGGAGGGGGTCTTGGATCTGTCCCACAGAATGTGCACTCCGCCTCCCCCTCTCCCCTCCTATACAGTACTCCTCCCACTCCTCCTCCTCCCACTCTCTCCTCCGGTTCCCTTCTCTCCTCTCTCCTTGTGCGCCCACTTTCTCCACTACCCAATCTACGTCTTGCTGTGCACCCCACACCCCTCTCCGCCTCTCTTCCTCCTCCCACTTCCACCCCAACAAACTCCTCTCAGCTCCTCCCCTCCGCGTCCGCCCTTCGCTTCCCCTCCACACCAAAAATATTCGACAGAAGTTCCACGCAAGCTGTGAACTTTCCACGGCTTTCCATAACCTTCCATGGACCTCTTTGCTACGGGCGACTCCCACATTTAAAAAAAAATTGGGCGCGGTGGGCTGGAGGATGTGAAGACGTGGGGATGGTGAACTGTGTGTGGAAGAGCTGTGACCGATGAGATGTGGACACGCCGAGGCTTAGTTTAATAAGAATAGCGAATTAAGAATACATTTGTTTTCATGAAGCGCCTTTCAAAGAAAAATGCACAAAGCTCTGAACAATGACCCGGGAATATTTATGGCCACACGAAATGCTGTCCTGGCCAGACGGACAGACAGACAGAGAGACAGAGAGACTTGTAGGAGCGATAACAAACTTGAGGGGTATTCCATTCCTGTGTACGATGGCAGCAGCAGCAGCAATATGGTTCAGGAGCCAAATGCCAATGTCGAGGTCTTGCCAGCCACGAACTCAGAGGGCTTCAGCAGAGAGAGTTCGTGTAGTTTCACTGTCCCTCCTCCTACACTGCTTGGGTGCAGACTGCCATCGTTTAGTGTACGAGCAGGCCCGTCCATAGGGAGGGTGCGGGGCTCCGGGGCCAAATCATCTCACACCGTGAGGTCAATGCGCCCCCCCACCCCCCCAAAGCATGGCTAAAGTAAGATAAATGATTAGTTTTGAGGCGTACCTGGAAAGTATCAATAAAGGCCTAGGGGCCGTCCATAAATGACGTCACGCGATTTTGGACAATTTTTGACCCCCCCCCCCAGTCACACGGCGTCACAAAGAGTCAGCCCCCCCCCCTCAAATATGACGTCACAAAGCTCTGCCCCCCCCCAAAAAAACATGCTTCAAATCGCTTTAAACTATTGTCATTGTAGTGCGTATTTAATGTGGCGCTGAATTCTGCTGTTGTAGGAGAAAATATGTATTTAAAAAAGTCTGTTTAATTAAGTAGAACGTGTTCATATTTATTTAAAGTTGCGAAGTTTGATGTGACGTCACATTTCTCAACCCCCCCCCCCCCTTCGTCACACATCGTCACAAATGTATAACCCCCCCCCCCAACCAAGGTGCGTGACGTCATTTATGGACGGCCCCCGAGTAGCGGAGGGTGACATCAGTGCTTCCCACAGGCGGCGAGCCACGGTATAGAATAGATTAACTCGTGGGTTCGATCCTGACCCTGACGCTCGCTGTATATGTGGAGTTTGCGTGCCTCTTTCACCGTGGTGAGATGTTAACTACCTCGCCTGGTATACAGGATGGTCGTGGGTTCGATCCCGACCCAGACGCCTCCTGTATATTTCGAGTTTGCGTGTCTCCCCGTGGTCACTTGGATTTTTCTCGGTCCTCGGGTTTTTAACCTCCACATTTAGCAAAATGGGTTGAGAGTATTTGGCTGCTATAAATGTCAACGTGATGCGCCACTTCGTTGAGCTATCATTTGTGGTCAGGTCGCTTCTTGAAAAGAGCTATACAGCTCAGTGGGCCTTGTCTGATAAAATATAACATATTATTTAAAATAGCTTAGTTTCAATAGGTCACGAATATTGGTCGGTGCGAGCCCTCTTAATTCTTTAAAGGTTCACTCAGTAAATATTTAAATCGAAGCTGTGTCTTACCGGGAGCCAGTGCCACGGGGGTAGGACTTGGGCATATGTGTTCGGAAGGAGTAGTTCTCGATACAAGGTCGCTTCAGGACCCTTTGCCGGGAAGCCTGACAGTGGGGCATTATAATCTTCGACTCGAGAAAAGACGAGCACATGGATCAACTTCTCTGCATCAGAGGCGGACAGGCAGGATTTTATCCGAGCGATTTTACGTAAATATTACTTTTTAAAATATGTTTTGACGTGTGCTTCTAAAGACAGAGCCGGGTTCCACAATGACATCGATATTTTTTTTCGTTTGCTGTTTGTGACAAGGGATGAACCAAAGATGTTATGATCATCAAGCGGCAGGTTAAACGGGTTAGACGGGCCGGCCCTATGCAATGCATGCGGGGAGCCGATAATATGCGCTGTAGTTTAAGTGTGGAGGAGCTGTAGCCGAGGGGATAGGACGCTAATAGGCTTGAACTAAAAACCATTAAACTATTTTTTTGTTTTAACAGGTCAGGCCCGCCAAGCTATATAGCTCTTTTTTTCGGAAGCGACCTGGCCACAAATGATAGCTCAACGAAGTGGCTTATCATGTGGACATTCATAACAGCCACATACTCTAAATGCACGTTGATATCTCAATGTGGAGGGGAAAGCCGGAGGATCCGTAAAAAATCCACGCGACCACGGGGAGAGAGAGAAAGAGAGACACGCATGTCAGGATCGGGATAGAACCCACGACCTGCTGTATACCAGGCAAGGCAGTTAACATCTCGCCACCGCGACCACCTATGTGGAGGAGCTGCAGTCGAGGGGGGAGCTAGATGGATTGTGTCATCGCAAGATTTAAAGGGATGGTGATGGCTTTTTGATGCTTTAATCCAGCAGTGGCTCGATCATTGCTGACAACGATGACGACACGGATTGAGGCCAGGGTCAAGAACGAGACCTTAGCACAGTGTGCTTCAATGCAAGGCCCCGTAGGCCACTAGCGGCCCGTGGTGGCCTTTAGTGCGGCCCCTGACGTGCGGCCGCCGACAAAACACAAATGGTCAAAGCACAACCCCATCATCATCGTGCTGCTGTCAAACCCCCATCGTTTCAAATGATGTGGCGGACCTCACACTGATGTCTTATCGGCGAAAGTGGCCACCTCCTATGACAATTAGTGAAGGACCCTGCCTTGGAAGATGTCCTCAAGCCGACATTGAGACCCGGTACCTGTCTCAAGGAACCAGGACTGGGTTGATTGAGATACGGAAGACGGGATTAATTCATGGGATGTGCGCTTGGAAGGCCCACGGATGGAAGATGAAGAGTGAGACATATAACGATGATGATGGTGGATTATAATGCAGTGACGTGTGTAGCCACAAGGTGGCAGACTTGACTTGCAAATGCTGACTCTAAAACCCCCAAGACCAGCAAAGAGAGAGAGCAACGCTTAGTTTTACACAGTCCTTTCATTTGTTATTTTAGTTACGTCTTCGTTTTTGATAGTATTAGGTGCAAGAAGCAGGGGAAGGCAATGAATTAAGTTACGTAAGCAACTTTAACAATTGGCAACTGAGCTAAATGGACTGAGCAAAATGGAAGGAAGGCAATGATAGCTGACGTCTTTGAGAAAGGACGTGGCGCATTTATGTATTTTGAACTCCTTTTGCACCGTACGTAGCCAACCGTGCTAATCGTAGTGCGGGCAGTCTTAGTTTAGTAGCCAACAACCCTGGTGAATCTTAGTCTTATCTGTTAAGTCTGTGGATTATATACTCATTCTCTTAGTTTACAGCAATCAGAATACTGTATTTATGCCGGAGGAATCCGATGAGCTATAAAGCTCTTTTTCACAGATGTCTAGTCGGGGCGGGTCCAAATGTTACAAAAACAATCAGTACAAAAATACGATAGGAGTGCAAAGTATAGGAAAGGTAAACAAATCATTTAGAATAAAAAATACTAATTTAACTTCAATCTTTTTTAAATCTTACCACGTAAGTGAAACGGACAGTCCCGACTCTCTTGCGCTATTAAATATTGTTTTGAAGAGCGAGCAATACCCCCCCCCCCCCCCCCATCATCATCACCATTAATATTAGCAGCGCAGCCAATTAAGTGAGCTCAGTAAACGTATTGAAGTACTCTACATACAGCCAAGATGTCTTGGTCAGCGTGGAAGAGTAGGCCGAATACTCTGGAGCGGGGCTGTCTGGAGCTCCCTCTAGCGGAGGCCCTCCCGCCAGCAGTGACGAGCGCACGCTATTGCAGGGCCGCGCCTTGAGATTTTTTATTTTTTACTAGTTCAGCCAATTAGTAAACTCAGTAAATATGTATATATACCCTGGATATACTGGCATAGCCAAATAGCACGCGTGGTCTTCCTCGGTGCACTGTCGTCTCGAGTAAGTCGCTACTGGGGGCAGTCACGGCCGCTCTGCCCTCTGGTTCAGCAGTCGCGGTCGCAGTCACGGCCCCGTGATGAGTTACGCCCGCTCCGTCACCGTCATCTTTGACCAACATTTTAAATAAACGAATAAAAAACTGCTCCTGTAAACACGCGACGTTGTGCCAACGTTAGCATGCGGTTGGAGCCGATGGACCAAAGTTTTACCAACTTTGGCCAAAACATGTGTGGTCTTAAAAAAAAACCATAGGCCACGTTCCAACCAATGGACCTCACGGCACACAGGCCAGAGAGACTTAGGACCTCCCACTCTACCCGTGTGCTCTGAAGAAGGACCATTGCCCGAAACGTCGCCTTGTATACACACGCCCTACCACACCACCCTCGGGCTCCCTCAGTCTTAGAGAGTCCAACAAGTTTGAGGGAGGCCAGAACATGTTTGAAACCTGAGTCACAAGCACTCGAATGACGCTAATGCGGCTTCAATTTGCATCCGATTCAATACAACGCCCTTTCAAAACGCGTGTGTGTCACTGTGTCCGTGGTCGTGACTGTCCGTGTGTTTGTGTGTGCGCGTGTGCATCAATCCGTGTGTGTGTGTTGTGTTCGCGCGCGTGTGTTTTGTGTGTGTCCATGTGAGTGTGTGTGTTTGTTTGGGGAGCGGTGGTGTAGCGATTAGCGCTTTTCTGCGCTACGAACCTGGCGATCCGGGTTCGATCCCGCTCACGGCCAACACCGGTGACGATTATCTGAACCGGTCCTGGGCCTCTTCCCTTAGGTCGACTCAGCCTCAAATGAGTACCTGGTTGCGGTGTATAAACATCGTCACTCGGGGAGACAAAGGTGGCAGGGCGTGGTGTTGGTCACCCACCCCCTCGTGTGCCGTGCCGGCCTTCATAGGTGCTCGCTAACAGCACTTGCCCCAACAGTCTGTTACAGGCTATAGGGGGGATCTTTATCTTTGTTGTGCGTGGTCAACGGTGACGTCGTGTTTAGTGCGCTGCACTTTGAACCCGGCGACATACCCCTAGCACTCACAACCCCCCTTCCCCCCAGTGCACTGCTAGTCTCTCGTAACTCTAGTAACAAGGTTCTCACTCACATCACTTTCTCCAATAGCCTGTGTAGATTATATGGGTACCTTCTTCGCCTGTGTGTGTGTGTGCGGCCTTGTTTGTGTCTTTCAATGACTAAGAGGGCTCTCTGGCTCATTGATGAGAGTTTGGTAACCTTTTCCACTGCGGCATAATAATTACCCAAGGAACCTCCAAACAAGGGCGATGACAAACTTGTGCCGGAGAGACCCTTGGGGAGGAGAAGAAGAATAACAGAAAAAAACCCCATCTATGACGCCGTCGTACCAAAAACCCAACGTGGTCTAGTCAAAATAATTACTCACCGCACCTCGAGAAACACCAGCCAATCACTTTGGCTGGCCGCACGGAATTTCCCAGAAGCTCGCTGGCGGGCGGGCGGGTTTAGAAAAGCCTCTGGCCGTGCATCCTCCGTTGGGAGCTTGAACCGTTACCACCACGGGCTCTCTGTGGGATTCGGACGGGAATAGTTGGGACTGGTTCCAACTCCTGTCACCATGGGAGGGGATGGACAGTCCCTTCTAATCGGAGAAGAACATCAGATACTGTCGCCAAAAAATAGGGAAGGGCTTGAAATGTGACGGTGGGGTGTGTTGGAGGCTGGAAATCCCAGGCTGTTGTCAGCTCGCTTCTCCATCAACAGGTGAGAAAATTTGACTTAAATAATAATAAATAACTACATAAATAAGGTGAATACTAAAAATAACACAAGCGGTCGTCATCAGGACGACCGCTTGTGTTGCGATCGAAACATCGTGGTTTTTATTTTTTTTATTTTTTATTCACTTTCCTTTTTTTAATCATTTTTCGATCTACGTGACTTTACCAAAATAATCAAAGAATAGGTGAGAAAAAGTGATGGTGGTGGTGGTGGTAGCCCACGTCCTCACAGAAGATGAGTATCTGTGAGGGAATGTGGGCAAAGCTGATGAGTAAGATGCCTTCGATGACCTCTCATGGGTGTTGGCTCAAGTGTCCCCTTGGGGAAGAGTCGCGCACATTAGGTGACTAATACCTGTATGGGTCATGGCATTAATACCTCGGCCAGATCATGTACGTGTACAGCCTTGTCGTGAAGAGGACTTCACGCAGAGCGGCGTGTTGTTGCTATTCGACCATACTTCACCATGCTGGGAAACGCTGGTTGGTGAAGGTGGGCAGCACAGAAGTACAACCAAAGCACATTGTTGTACTGTTCTGCACTCTGCTGCCCATCACCAAATATCCCGATGATACGATCTGTGCGTGCGTGATGGTCACCCATTCGAAAAATATCCAGGCTCGAGATTCAACGTGATCGAACTACTGAATAAAAATGGCAGGAGTTGCATTGATTGGGCTGAGACTATCAACTCGCTACACTGGAGAACCCAGGTTTAATTACAACTCAGCCTCTATGTGAATCTATGGGTATCTGTATGAATCTATGGGTATCTATGAGAATCTATGGATATTTATGTGAATCCAATGGCGGAGCCAGGATGTTCAGGTAGGGGGGCGGCAACCCCTCCAGCAATTAAAAATGATAGAGGAGTTGTTAGTAAGTAAGGAGTTGTTAGTAAGTAAGGAGTTGTTAGCAAGTAAGGAGTTGTTAGTAAGTAAGGACTTGTTAGTAAGTAAGGACTTGTCCTTTGCTTTTTATTCGACGCGTGTGCGGCGATGGCGCAGCCATCGATCGAGGGTCGAATTCGAACCGCGTTGTGTGATCGGAATCGCGCTCGTTGAAGGTGTTGATGCCTTCAGGGAAGTCGTGTACTGGATACGCAACTACGCACAATTATGTGAGACGCTTATAGCTGCTTTGCCATTACTTATTGTCAATTATGGACTCAGACTATTGTCATATCATCTCATAGAGTCCCTGGCACGTAATAATATGCTACACATTGGCAGTGGGGGTCGCAAAATGCCGATTTATTACTAATAAACCCCAATGATCCGATCGAAATTCGGGATTTCGGTCGGATCATTGGGGGGAGCACGTGCCATCCCACCTCCCACTGACTGTGCCAGTGTGTGAATCTATGGGTCTCTATGTGAACTGATGGGTATCTACGTGAATCTATGGGTCTCTGTGTGAACTGATGGGTATCTACGTGAATCTATGGGTCTCTGTGTGAACTGATGGGTATCTATGTGAATCTATGGGTCTCTATGTGAACTGATGGGTATCTACGTGAATCTATGGGTCTCTATGTGAACTGATGGGTATCTACGTGAATCTATGGGTCTCTATGTGAACTGATGGGTATCTACGTGAATCTATGGGTCTCTATGTGAACTGATGGGTATCTACGTGAATCTATGGGTCTCTATGTGAACTGATGGGTATCTACGTGAATCTATGGGTCTCTATGTTAACTGATGGGTATCTACGTGAATCTATGGGTCTCTATGTTAACTGATGGGTATCTACGTGAATCTATGGGTCTCTATGTGAACTGATGGGTATCTACGTGAATCTATGGGTCTCTATGTGAACTGATGGGTATCTACGTGAATCTATGGGTCTCTATGTGAACTGATGGGTATCTACGTGAATCTATGGGTATCTATGTGAACTGATGGGTATCTACGTGAATCTATGGGTCTCTATGTGAACTGATGGGTATCTACGTGAATCTATGGGTCTCTATGTGAACTGATGGGTATCTACGTGAATCTATGGGTCTCTATGTGAACTGATGGGTATCTACGTGAATCTATGGGTCTCTATGTTAACTGATGGGTATCTACGTGAATCTATGGGTCTCTATGTTAACTGATGGGTATCTACGTGAATCTATGGGTCTCTATGTGAACTGATGGGTATCTACGTGAATCTATGGGTCTCTATGTGAACTGATGGGTATCTACGTGAATCTATGGGTCTCTATGTGAACTGATGGGTATCTACGTGAATCTATGGGTCTCTATGTGAACTGATGGGCATCTACGTGAATCTATGGTTCTCTATGTGAACTAATGGGTATCTATGTGAATCTATGGGTCTCTATGTGAACTGATGGGTATCTACGTGAATCTATGGGTCTCTATGTGAACTGATGGGCATCTACGTGAATCTATGGGTCTCTATGTGAACTGATGGGTATCTACGTGAATCTATGGGTCTCTATGTGAACTGATGGGTATCTACGTGAATCTATGGGTCTCTATGTGAACTGATGGGTATCTATGTGAATCTATGGGTCTCTATGTGAACTGATGGATATCTATGTGAATCTATGGGTCTCTATGTGAATCTATGAGTATCTACGTGAATCTGTGGGTATCTACGTGAACTGATGGGTATCTATGTGAATCTATGGGTATCTATGAATCTATGGGTATCTACGTGAATCTATGGGTATTTACGTGAATCCATGGCTATCTATGTGAATCTATGGGTTTTACCGAATAGAACCAAAGAGTATGGATCCTTGCAGTCACGAAAGCTTCAAATCTAGAATTTTCCATGGCAAGTCATCGATGGTCGAGTTGAGATCGTTAGCTCGATACACTTGAGAACCCGGTTTGAACACAGGGCGGCTGAAACCCCGATTCGAACTCAGGCTCTCCGCAATACCAGCTCAATATTCTGACACTCGAGCCAACTGGCCACCTCAAGAATGTATTTTAGTTTGCTTTACAATTGTGGTGACTGTAGCGGCCTCTGGCGGTGGCAAGCGCCACGTAATCCAGTTAAATACACCCCATACGTATTTGAAAGAAAGAAAAACATCGATGATTACGTTGACATCAATCGATGCATTTACGGCGAGCTTAATAATAGATCTTAATAGATTATTAAGCTCGTCACAACCCCTGTGAGTAAAGCACGTGTTACCACTATCTTCGCATGAGCTCGCACGCTATATATAGTCCCAGTGTGTGTGTTAGGGGGAGCGGTGGCGACGCGGTTAGCGCACTGCGCGATGTACCCAGCAACCCCAGTTCGAATCCCGCTCACGGCCAACTTCAGTGACAAATATCTGAACCTGGGTCGACTCGGCCTCAAATGAGTACTTGGTGTGCTGTTTAAAAATAAACAGCACTGGGGAGACAAAGGCGGCCGGGCGTCGTTTTTTTTTCTTCCGACCACACTACCCCCTCGTGCGTGGATCACATCTTAATATGCGATCCCGACGAGAGCGCTGTCGCAGTCGCTAAGTCAACTAAATATGGGTGAATCTTGCCTATTTGTGTTTGTGCATTAAACAAATATATGGCCATTCACAAAACACGACGTGCATCACGCGTGCAATGGGGCCGTTAAGGTGACGTCACCGTTAAGAGAAGGATGGAGGGATTGTGGTGGGAGGGGAGTTATAGAATTGGGGGTTGTGGGTTGTGATGTAGAGGAGGGGAGGGAGTGGTGGTGGTGGGTGAGACGACGATGGTGATGGGGGTGGTGGTTGTAGGCGACCGAGGAGCGGTAGAGTAGCGGTTAGCGCTAATGCTGCTGCGAAGCCCGACGGCCCGAGGTTTCCCGCTCACGGCCACCAACATCGGTGGCGATTATCTGAACCCGGTCCTGGGCCCTCCCCAAGGTCAGCTCAGCCTCAAACGAGTACCTGATGCGGGCGTGAAAACAACATCGGCGCTTGGGGGGGAGACAAAGGCGGTCGGGCGTTGTGCTCGCCTTCATAGGTGTTCCTCGCTAACAGCACTTCCCCCTCCCCCCAAAAGGTCTGGGGGAAGGCTGTCTCTACGGGGGCTCTTTGGCTTTGGTTGTAGGCGGTACCTGGGATCCCACCTAGGCCAATGACACTGGTGGTAGCCCCCCCCTTGCCCCCCCCACAACGGCGCTCGCGCTGGGGATGAGGTGGGGTGACGTCACGCCTATATGAGTGGGATGCGCGGGGGAGGAGGTGACACACGGAGTGAAGGGATCTCGCGAGGCAGAGAGAGCCAGGCTTGAGCCGACCGGACGCAACCGATGGACAGAGGCGCACGCGTTGTGTAGAATTGAACCGCGTTAATTCAGGCACGGTAATAAAACAAAATCAGCAGCAGCAGCGGCAGCAGAATTGGGACCAATTGACGCGCAACAGAATCGAATTGTTTTTTTTATCCGACAAAAGGGGGCTCGAGACGACAACAATCGAAGAAGAAGACTCCTCGACGGTTATTTATCCAACGTCGAGCGTAATAATCCTCGCCGCTGTCATTAGTACTGCTATTGATTTGATTGCTGTGGTGCCGGTGGCGTCAGTGTAACGAACGCGTTTCGTCGGCCGATCGCAGCGGCGGCAGCAGCAACAGCGGCGGCTGCATCATCATCGTCGTCAACAGCAGCGGCGGTGGCAGCTGGTTAACTGTCAGAGAGGCATCGATCTCCAATCGCGTTGCGGTCGCATTGAAAGGAGGACAGGCGAGGGACAAAGAGACCGAGGCGCAGAGAAGAAGAAGACGAGAGGACACGGGCTTGCTACGACTCCCTGAAACGAGGGGACGGCGCGCAATTAGACAGAGACAAGGAGGGGGGGAGGAGAACGACAGCGGCGCGGAGACCAGAAGAGGAGGAAGAGACGGAGAGACGCCGAGGGAACAGAGCGTGAAGGAGGAGGGGAGAGAGCGGAGAATTGAAGAGCGCTTGGCGCAGGCATGTCGGAGGTGATGCCCTACGCGGATGAGAAGCTGGCTCGCTTCCCCGAGGGATCGGACGTGGGGCAGCTGGCCTTCTCGTGCCGCCTCCAGGGCACGGACAACTTCTACGGCAGCGGGGGAGGAGGTGGTGGAGGAGGAGGCGGCGGCGGTGGTGGAGGAGGTGGAGGAGGAGGAGGTGGAGCCGGTGGGCAAGGAAAGCGACCTCCCAAGTTGGGTCAGATCGGACGCACGCAGTGCGGTGAGGATGAATGGGTGGTGCGACGTGGGGGGAGGGGGGGTTGTGTTCGAGGGGGGCTGGGGGAAGGGGGGGCTGTGTTGGCTGGGCAGATTTTTTTGGGGGGGGGGCAGTGGTGGGTGCTCGCCTACTCGGGGGCCCTAATCAATGATTTGACTCCGAGTCACCAGGAAGACGGGACAAGCTACCCCACCTTAATTACATCAGCCGCGTGACACATTTGGCTCGATTAGAACGATTACAAATGACGTTAATTGATGTTTGCAATTATTATGTTTGGTTTATTTTCGAGTTTTTTTCTTTGTTTGGTGCCACCGCTCTTTGTGGTTTCACGAACGTAGAGCGCCTTGAGCCACTTGGGGCGTTCGGCGCTTTGCTTTTGTTTGATGATGCCCAGCGCCACCATCTGTGTTTTGGATGACTCACCAACTCAGACAGGTGAGGGCTTGTGTGGCACCGTGTATATATACAGGCGTGTGTATATACAGGCACACAAAGCTATAAGTGTACATTTATTGTATAGACAATCGGTTTTCTTATATATACACAACATACACATCCGCCGCCTTGCACGCATACATAAATAAATACAAAGACAAAGCCTTTGGGCAAATGCAGTTAACGAGCACCTATGAAGGTCGGCACGCCTTGCACGACCGCCATTGTCTCTCCAGTGACGATGTTTACTTGCACACCGCGCCAGGTACTCATTTGAGGCTGAGCCTACCTAGAGGGAGACCCGGGACCGGTTAAAATAATCGTCACTGCTGGTGGCCGTGAGCGTAAATCGAACCCGGGTCGCCATGTTCGTAGCGCAGCGCCCTAAACCGCTACACCACCACTGCCCACATGTGAACACGCGCGCACACACACAAAGACAAAGATTCCCCGTATAGCCTTAACAGACTGTAGGGGCAAGTGCTGTTAGCGAGCACCTATGAAGGCCCGAACGGTACACGAGGGGGTGGGTGGCCAGCACCACGCCCGACCGCCTTTGTCTCCCTAATGGCAATGTTTACACACCGCACCAGGTACTCATTTGAGGCTGAGTCGACCTAGGGGAGGCCCGGGACCGGTTCAGATAACCGTCACTGGTGTTGGCCGTGAGCGGGAATCGAACCCGTGTCGCCGGGTTCATAGCGCAGCGCGCTAACCGCTACACTATCACACACATACACACACACGTACATGTGCATACGCGCTCGTTGCGTACACACAGTGAGCGAGGCGCACGCTGCCTGGCCCACTGTGGGCTGTTGGTGACCAAGTTCACATTCGGGTCGGGGTGTTGCTAAATCGAGTACCACGTTGTGGGGGAAAACGCTAAACGGTGGTTGTCAAAAAGGTTACCCTTGTCCAAGCCCACCCCCTGCCATGGCAATGTGGAATTTCCACGACGTCAAGGTCCGGTCTCGTTACCATAATAATACCCAATTTAAGGCGTTTCACCCGGTTATGTAAGCGGCACCGATTGTGAGGGCATGGGCCAGAGGGGCAGGCTGTCCTACGGACGAGGGAACGTGACGCTCACCTTCATGTGAGAGAGGATTCGTCACCATGATCAATCCACTGCTGGATATGAAGGCATCGCCAAGCCCATCCCCAGAGCACACTCCTTTAAGATTCGTACGATTATTGCACGCAAGATGTACGACATGTGTATTAGTGGAGTTTCGGTAAGTCAGATGACCTGGAAGATTTACATATACACTCCTTGGTGGGCAGCCCTTCCTACGCACGAGGTGACGTGAAACTCACCTGCTTGGAATCAACGCAGGTGACCTTTATGATTTGTATGCCAGATAAACGACCTGATTCGTACGTATAGGATAGACAACCTGAAGACTAAACATTTTTTTCTTATTTTACCATGGTAAGGCCCACTGAGCTATATAGAGCTATTTTTTCTGAAGCGACCTGGCCACATATGGATTGATCAACGAAGTGGCTAATCACGTGGAAATGCATAGCAGCCAAATACTCTAAAACGCGTGATGTTGATTCTAAAAATGGAGTGAAAAACCGGAGGACCTGGAGAAATATCCAAGCCATCACGGAGAGACAGACATGCAAACTCGAAATATAGAGGCGTCAATTTCTGTATCGAGCCCACGACCTCCTGCATACCGGGCGAGGGAGTCAACATCTCGCCGCCGCGACTTAGAGGGCAGACATACGGACGTGGTGACGTGGTGACGTGGTGATGTGTAATTGAGCAACGTGACATGCGTTATTTGTGGCGTAACAAACACTAATGGCCGACCCTTATCGAGTTTCTGCTATCCGTTGTTATTCATTCATCCGTTCATCAATTCATTCGTGCATTTAACAAAACCGATTTCAATCAATTAATTTAACTTGTTCGATAACGCCACTGCCATGATGCAGGCCTGAAATCCCACCGTTGTGGGAGGGGTGAGGGGGTTAGCGGATCATGGGGGGTTGGTTACCTCTAGGAGATGCAGTACAAAAAGTAGGTTGCTGACAGCTTATTACGCGTGTAGGTCTATTTGAGTGCTTTGTCATTGTATGCACGGATATATATGTATAGATAAGTTTAACATGTAGGCTTTTAACACGTAGGCTTTCGCGACCAATATTATTCAAAATAACGTTTTTTGAGGTAGGATCAGGTAAGTATAAATGTGTCGTAACCCTCCACCACCCGACACGGCCAGTAAGGTTTGTCACGTAAACAACGCACCAATTATTTACTACTTCAGCCCACCGGTGTGTTGGAGAGTAAATCCACAACATTTACAATTTGAATACGACGCTCCGTTGGTAATTGCATCCAGCATCATCTGGCGATTTGCCAGAATAGTGAAGCGACTAATATTATCAATAATAAAGGTGAGTTTTTTGGGAGTTAGATCTAGTTGTCGCCTGATGAAGCTGGCTGTTGTAGTCACCGGTGGAACGTCACAGGACTCGAATTCTAAACGTTGTGAGTTTTTACTCTCCAACACACAACCGGCGTGCTGAAGTAGTAACGAATTGGCACGTTTTGTTTACGCGACAAATCTTGCTAACTGGCTGTGTCGGGTGGTGGCGGGTTTAATGACACATTTAAATTTACGCGATCGAACCCAACAAAAATCTTTATTGTTGGTGTATATATATCATTTTTTTTTACTCCACAAATTAACTCTGGCTTTTCTCCTCCAACACTCGCAACAAAGCTTAGCGGAGGAATCCCGCGCAGGAAGTAATGGCACACAGACGGAGGTGTCCGATGCCTTACGTTAACAATCAAACGCGCACAGAGTAGCGTAGCGATCGAGTGGTGTGTGGTGTGCACACGGTGGGGGGGAGCGAGGGGAGGGGCAGTGGCCTTGCCACGTTGAGAAAAAGGAAAAATGTGACAAGTCCACTCGAGAGACCAGAACGCGCCTCGTCTTCGCCAGGGTGACCCCATTCGGTGGGCCTCGAGTTGTTATTTACAGGGTCAACCTCAACCGCGCGCAACGTCGGCACAAATTCAACCACCATTTCTAGCAAGTGCATTGTATGTGCTCAGAAGAATGGTCGTTGCCTGAAACGTCGCCTTTCATATGTGTTTTTATTCATTTATTTTAAGGCCACGGTGTTAAGTGACGAATGTGTTGGACCATGTTTAGTTCCATCAGCCGAGCGGCCTTCCGGAGTGATGTGTCTGACACAGTGGCGAGGTAACGACGTTATCAGCTCAGGTGGAGGTGCAGCAATTGGTCAGGTGGGGCCCCAAAATTTTATTTGTCTCGCACGGTCGCGCCTAGGAGGCTATTATATATAGCGCGGCTCCTCCTCTTGCCTAATTCCATCATTAAGCATTTTAATTGAAAAAAAACAAAAAAAATTACACCTAGTTTTAAATAAATAAATGTTGTTTTATAGAGACTGTTGTTGATTAACATATCTCGTGGTGGTTGTCAAGGGGGCCCCAACTCGTAGCTTTGGTCACCATGAGGGAGGTAGGGGGGGTACACCCTGCCCCCCACCCCCCGCTTGTTACTCCACTGATCTGACAATTCATGGCATGTGGGGAGGCGACCTAAACACCGCGCGGGCACCATCTTGGGGCCGGCTTTGGTGCTGCCCGAGTCTTATGGGCGAGGGCGCAGCCAGTTTAAACAAATGCCGCCTGTGGTGGGACTGGCAATAGAGGTCCCGACAGCTCCGTCGGCAAAACGCCGTGCGCTGCTGGCAAGGGCCCTTTCATCCGTGGTGCAGTCCGTCAAGATGGCGTGACACGTGGTGCGGTGTGCTGCAGAGTCGAACGAGCACTTTACTTAATCGCCTACCCCACAGCAGGGACATCCATCCTCCGGGTTTCGGTTTACCCCGCAAGAAAAACCATGGCCCCTGCTGATGGGCGGCAGAGCGGTGTGCAGCAGATGGCAGCTATCGCCTCCTCCTCCTCCTTCTTCCTCCACCTCCTCCTGCTGCTGCTGCACAAATAGCCAGTGCAGAGTAGCCCACACGATACGGCGACGACTGTCACCAATCAACACACCGTGTGCCACACACACGGAGCACGGAACGCCACTACCCGCTCCGATAGTTTTAGTCGATGGGTTTATACTACGTGAGTCTTATTTATTGGTCTCTGAGTGAGTCGGTGGGCCCCCCTGTGAGTGTACGGGTTCCTGTGTGAGTTTATATGAGTCTCCAGGTGACTCTACTAATTCCCACGTGAGTCTACACCTAAAACCATGAACCGCATAGTAACACATCGCCCGTTTCTATAACATATGTTAGTATGGGCATATGCGTGAGTCCATGCATGTTTATGTGAGTCTATAGTTGAATGTGTTTGTCTATGGGTGTCTGTGTGAGTCTATGGGTATCTGTGTGAGTCTGTGGGTGTGTGTGAATCGATGGGTCTCTGTGTCAGTCTATGAATCTCCACATGAGTCAATGTTTCAAAACCATTGACCACAGAGTTTACATCACCGGCAGCATCTCAGATGTCTGCCGTGAGGCAACTCCCGAAATCATTATCACCCACTCAACCACATCCA